ACTGGGACAACTCCTTGGGGAAGCATTGCTCTTGGATGGCGCGAAACATCACAGACTCAGCAGATGGAATCAATTCTGCACGCGAAACACCCTTGTGTCGCCATGACAGCATACTTGCGACCAAACCGCGAGCTCGTTGCCACTTGGAGAACTTCTCCCACGGCCAAACAACTGGAGTGTCAACCTCCACAGCCGACACGCGTGCTTCGGTGACGGACTCATTGGTGCTCTGAAACGAGATGACTGGTGGCCACTGAGACTCATCGCTCAACCATGACGGACCATGCAGCCACATCTCCTTCTGCAAGTCACACACTGGGACACCACGCGAGACAAGATCTGCAGGGTTGCTAACTCCTGGACAGTGACGCCATTCTACTTGCAGCTTCTGCGAAACTTCTTGCACTGCAGCAACTCGATTAGCAACATACGTCTTCCAGTGATACGACGGCTTTGAGATCCAGTGCCATGTGGTTAGGCTATCTGTCCACCCCACAATCCTTTCAATTGGCACTCTCAATTCATTGACGACAAAGGACAACATCTTCACGCCAAGACACACAGCCGACAATTCCAGACGCGCAAGAGTGGGACGTACAACAGGTGCAACCTTCGCCTTCGCACACAACAAAGAAGACGTCAAACCGGACACAACATAGAAACAACAGCCATAGCCCTTCTCGGATGCATCTGAGAATACATGCAACGTGACTGGAGCATCTGGAGTACACCCGATCCATCTGGGGATTTTAACGGAAGAAAGCGCTGCGAGCTCTCCCCACCATGAAGCACATCGGACAGCCAAATCAATAGGGAATGGGTCATCCCAACCACCGCCGAGCTTCCAACTCTCTTGCAACATCATCCTGCCTGGCACAACTGCGGGTGACGCCCAACCTAGCGGATCGAACACAGCGGCAACACAACGCAACAACGCACGACGAGACCAACCAGACACTTCCTTGGGACACTCAACATCACCGAGCGCAGCCACCGAAATACAATCTGACTCGGTGTTCCACACAATACCCAGTGCCTTGGAACCAGCCTCGGGGTCTGAGGTCATCGTGTTCCCTCGCCACTTCCGCAACTCCATGCCTGCTCCCTGCAAAACATTAACGCTATACTCCTGCAGCTTTTCAGCATCCGCACAGCATGGCAAGCTAGAAACGCAATCATCAACATAAAAACTACGCAGCAGCAGCTCTATGATATCACGCTCAGCAGCAGAAGCAGACTCGAATGCACTATCGAGATGAAAGCGCAGCACAGCACTAAGTATGAAAGGAGAACAATTCACTCCAAAAGGCAGCTTCTTTAAACGCCAGATACACATTTCTTCGCTACCTATCTCAGGCCAAACAAAACGCAGATATGGCCTATCTTCTTCACGCATTCCGATCATAAAAAAAGCCTTGCGAATATCGGCTTGTACAGCACATTCATACTCACGGAACCTGAGGAGGATACCAGTGAGATCCGGTAGGAGTGATGGCCCGGGATCGACCATGTCGTTTAGGGATGGTGCTCCGGTGCAGGCGGCGGATGCATTGAAGACGACCCGTGTCTTCGTCGTTGAGGCGTCGCTACGGAATACGGCATGATGCGGCATGTAATAGCCGGCTTCCTCCGGATGCGGTTCCTTTTCAATGGCATCCAGCTTCAAGTACTCAGTGATGAGGACGTCATCATACGCTGGACATTGACCTCGTCTCTGTAGCTGCTTCAGCAGTGAGTGTGCCGCTGCCATCGCTTGGTTGAGGTTGGCTGGCGGACGCTTCTCAGATCGCCATAGCAATCCCACTTGGTAATGAGGGCCTTGCCGCTCTATCGGGAAGTCCGGTAACATCTCAGCTATTTCCGGCACCTCTTCCATCTTCCACAGTCGGTCAAGTTCAATACAACTCACACTGACGGTCGCTGACTTGGTTTCACTATTAGCCGGTCCTGACAGCACCCAGCCTATTTCAGTGTGCCAGGCCGTCTCTCCATTGATTTGCTCCTTGCGGAGAAGGAACTCATTGCAGTAGTCAGCTCCAATCAGCATGTGCACTTCGCTTGATCCGGCCTTTGTCGAGTCATCAGACAGCTGCAATCCCTGTGACTGCCAACGTGCAATTGTGCTGTCTGCTAGCGGATCGAATCGGAGACCTAGCGACTTCTTTTGCCAGGCATTGACGGAAATGGACTTCGTTGCACCCTTGATGGTGACACGGTACCTGTCCATCTTTTCAAACTTCGGCTCCACGTCAAACGCCTTCAGCCTGACAGTTTGCGATCCAAGGTGTGCCGGTTGCAGCGAGTTCACCAGTGGCGCGGTGATGAACGATGCCTGCGCACCTGGGTCGATGAATATGCGTACACTGGCCTTTCGGCTAGGTCCTTGTACCTCAGCCACGCCGGTCATCAAGTGCACGCTGTTTGCACTACATTCATACGTACCGACTTTCGATTCGGCTATCGGTTCGGATGTTACCTGTTTGTCCTCTCTGTGCAGTAGACTGTGGTGTCGCTTGTTGCAGTGCTTGCAACGACCCTTGTTCTGACAATTCATCACTCGATGTCCTGGTCTCAGGCAGTTGAAACACAGTCCCTCTGCCTTGACGTACGCGTTTCGGTGCTCAGACGCCATAGCTGACAATTTCTTGTTAGCCTCATCAACGCTGACCGTCAAACACTCTGCCGACGCAAACGGTATACGTTTGTCGCTGGTGCTAGACTTGGCAGGCTTCAGCTTGCTACGTCCGTGGGCTGTTTGGTAAGCCATACCATCCTCCGCAAACGCCTTCAAGTCCTTCGTGTAACATCTCTTCTCGATCAAGAAGGCCTTAGTTTCTGCCGACACAGCTTCTAGCAGGACTTGACGTACGACACATCCGAACAATTCAGTGTCGTCCCGCTCACCGATTTGTCCGCGGCTAGAGGTACGGCTAGGCCTGGCGAGTTTTGCCCACTTCTCCGTCTCGCGCGTCACTCGTACCACAAACTGGTAGAAACTCTCATCACTTTTCTGCTGTATGGCCATCAGGGCTTGCCACGCTTTGTCGGCGGTCTTCCCATGCGCCATCAGCAGCTCGCGCTTCGCTTCGGCAAAGGTGTTGCAGCCATAGCATGCACCTTCCAACTTGCTGCCAGCAACAGCCACGCGCAAGCGGATCAGGTACTCGTCGTCGCTGAACTCATTTTGCTTTGCCACATCCTCGAACAGTTCGAGATAGGTCTCAACAGTCTGCTTACCGTCGAACTTCGGCATCTTGATGGCAGACCTCTTGCTCGCTAAACTGCCATTCGTCGTATTCAACAAGTGCTCTCATCACTCTGAGTCTCTCGTGTGTGCTGGACTTGCAACTCCAAATCTGCAATCCTCGCAAGCAGCTGCTCGTCATCTTTCCTTTCCAATCTACTTCCTGCTCGTTCGTCGCGCTCTCTGTCTGCACGCACTTTCTCCTCGTGCTTCTCGATACGCTCCTCTACGTAAGTACGCAATGCCTCTCCAGTGTAGCCATAAGCTTGACCATTTGCGATCAGCTTCGCTTCTACCTCATCCATGTTCACGCGTCTCTATCCTGGCGTGGTCGCCAAAATGTTGTGTTCACTACTAACACCTCAAAAGTTTCAGGATCGCACAGACGCCACAAGACAAAAGGTCACGTAATTCTTTACGGACTATAATGAATGAACAGTAGAATACATTGAGAAGAAGAGACTGAAAAAATACGAACTACATCGGAAAGAGAACTCTAGAACACTAAAGAAAAAACAAACCACAGCATCAAGGAAAAGAACAACGCATGAGGGGTAAAGCGCTGGCCAGCCACAACGTGCGTCCAACTTTGGCATGAGCGTACAGAAGAGCGTACAGCGCTCGGAAAGCGGAAGCTAAATTTGGCGGCAAAGCGACAGCAATAGTACGGCGCGCGGCACATAAGCAGTACGAGGCGAGGCACGTATACGCGTGTGCGGCAAACATTACACACCATGTACCATATATGCATGAACAGCGCGGGGCGCATACTAACTCATTCAACATCAGTGCGCGGCGCAGGCATCTAGCTAGCTGGCGCAAGCATGATCATAATTGCATGCCATCACGCAATCAGCGCACATAAATCGCGCATCAAATAAATAAGTAATCAAACACAAATCAACACATCAACTAAATAAATCAACGAGCTAGCAAGAACACAATTCAAAAATGCAACGAAGAAATAATTACTATTCTAGTCGGTTATTCGCATGGGACCAAGCGCAATGTCCACGCTGATGAACTGTGATTGCACAAGGTAAGCCCAAGCTCCTGAGCTAACCGTTCTGGTGTGCAGTCTTCTTCGTGCTGCAACCACACACTACACAATGTGTCGTATCTCGTAACAAGTACTGTACCAAATCACAACGAACACTAACAATACGCAATAGTAAACAATAATCAAAACACTACGCAAAAAAGCAAAGCAAGCAGCACCTAGCCAGGGAGACAAGCAGGAGTCACGGTCGCAACGAGATCTCGACGATACCCCAGAAGACCTTTCTCCGACACGATACACAACAGCCAGCATGCGTGGAGTGACCCAGGAGTCCGAGCATGTGACACAGACATGTCCCATGCATGCCACTCTGCCTGATACAAGAGGAAAGTCGTTATATTTCGATGCATTTCACGTCTTCAGGCACCAAATAAGTGTCAGTAAATTCGATTTGTTGTTATTTTCGAGGTCGTTATGCCCGATCTATAATGTACAGAAAGGACTTGCTAAACGACTTGGGCAACAGAAATATGTCACTAAACTCGATTTGTCGTTATATCCCCGCTCCACTGTTGCAGTAAACACAATAGGGTCCTGCACATTCAACACTAGGCCTATTCACCACCCGACTGGGTCTACGGGATTCTACGAGGTTCCACGAGATTCTACAGTAGTTTGTGCATGTGTACAACGTGCAAAAGAGCTATTGATGTGTGATGTGCTGCATGTGCTGCATGGCATGTGCATGACTGGCAGGCTGGCCAAGTATGACAAGAACTCCAGTGCACTGCGTAGTCTGCTGGTCGACCACATCACCAGAGTGGGCAAGCGCTATGCGGGTCGCGTCTACTCCTGGGATTTCGTCAATGAGGCTGTGCTCAAACCGACTGAGAATGGAACTTACCTCAAGACCAATGTATGGTATCCGGCAAGTAAGTACGGTCAGGCTGCACTGCCGTGTGTGAATCACACACACACACACACACACACACACACACACACACACACACACACACACACACACACACACACACACACACACACACACACACACACACACACACACACACACACACACAACACACACACACACACACACAAACACACACACACACACACACAAACACACACACACACACACACACATACACACCACTGATGGTGCATCCTGATCATGTGTTACCTGTCCCATCGCATACACAGACCTCGTGTCAGTGCGTGTCATCATTTTCCCGGCAGCAAATAGAAGTTCTAGTCCATGAAGTTAAACGAAGTGATTGTTTTTTTATGTGATGTGTGAGTGTACTTATCACTGCACCTGACGTTGGGAACTCTTTACACACGTGCAGACGCATACACACTCTCACTTAGTACATGCACATTTGTATATAGCATGTAGATGGTGGACTCCCCAAAATAGAGTTTCTGTATGGAACGCACATCTCCCATTGTAGCTCCTTGAAGCACTGGGTCCCATATGGTGCAGTGGTATGTGCAGCGATTTCCAATCGATAGGTTGCGGGTTCGATTCCCGACGATTATGGTCACACACGTCTTTCTTCTCTTTCTCAGACTCTTCCTGACTTTTCTTTCATTCTCCTGGGTGGTTACCAACAGCCAGTGCATGCCGGAGTATGTGGTGTGATGTGTGTGCGGGAAAAAAAAATAAAAAGACCAAAAATGGGGATTCACTGGCCAGAAAAAGTCACTTCAAATAGCTGTATGGTGTAGACCAGGCTGAATAGTGACGGTCAATTCTTCAGCCTTGCAAGCTGTTGAATGGTGCAATCCAAGCACAAGTTGCTATGGCTTCTGCCGTAGCATTGCTATCATCGCCTCCGGTGATGGGCGTAGAATCAAATTAAATTGAAGCACTACTATGATGTAAAGCCGCTAGCCGTGGAGCTAGTGCATGTATTTGACTGCACATCATCCGGGAGATCATTTTCCTGTGTGTTTGTGTTGTGTGCCTGTGTGTGTGTATGTGTGTATGTGTGTGTGTGTGTGTGTGTGTGTGTGTGTGTGTGTGTTTGTGTGTGTGTGTGTGTGTGTGTGTGTGTTTGTGTGTGTGTGTGTGTGTGTGTGTATTCATCAGCCTTGCAAGCTGTTGAATGGTGTAATCCCAGCACAAGTTGCTATGTCTAACATAGCTGTTCGCTATCATCGCTTCCGCGATGGGCAGCCTGAGGTCTGAGGTGTGTGTGTGTGTGTCTGTCTGTGCCTGTATGTGTACGTGTGCATACGTGTGTGTATGTGCATCATGTGTGTATGGATGTGAGCATGTTTATCTACTTACTGTGACAGTTCCTGATATCATTGACTTGGCATTCAAGACCATTCACTCCATTGACCGCTCAGCTAAACTCTTTGTAAGCCAAATTTTATTTCGAGTTACATCTGCCATGTACTCAGTCATTTAATTTGATAATTTGCAATGGCTTAGTGCTGGAGATCGTGTGATGGCAAGGAAGTTAATTTTGAAACCTCCGAATGATGTACTGTAGAACGGCTAATTTTAGCCGGTAAAATTTAACCGTTTTCTGAATCTGAACCAATTTACGACAAAATATTTTAGCGATCCAAGTTTCGGAGTTTAAAAAGAAGGATGATTAGTACTGTGCCGTACATGGCGACATGCAAAGTTTCGATAGGTGTGGCAAAGCGTAAGCGAAAACACTCCTTTCGTTAACATCGCTAAAACATCACCGTCGTTAAATCAGCCGTTTTACAGTATTCGATAAGCAGCAATGTGCTGCCCACTAGTACAAAGATAGGACGCAATGTCCAGTATGCATTTTCCTGAGAAGCTTTTGTGTTGAAGATACATGTACCAACTTTGCTCAGATGTGATTGTAACAGTTAGATCTCCCGGGCTATCCCCTACATAATTTGAAAGACAGGAGTGGACATCTGTCTGGTATTGAATGTCTGGCTCTTGGTTAGAAGATGAAGATAAACCAGGAGCGGGCGCAAGTTGAGCGCCACTAAGTGGACCGAGAGGTTTCTTCCACTACCTGGCCGTCTAACATCAGATTCTTCTGTAGTTTACCCACATCCCTTTACTTACATGTTTATCAAATTATACACGCCAAGGACATTTTTGAGAAGAAGGTTGGAGGCTTCCTGCAGTTTCATAGTAGATGCAATTGGGTGAACTCACCCATTCCACAATACTCTGCAAATTTCCGAAACATTCCATTATACCGTATATTCTCTATTATAAGCACCGTGCTTCTATTTTTTCAACACCCCTCTACCCCGTGCTTATATTGGAGACCACGCTTATATTGGAGACCGTGCTTATATTTTTTCAACCAATACATCCATACAGAGCAAGAAGAAATACATGCTAGATATCATGCGTGCAGCATTGATTTCCACCAAGACCGTGCTAATAATAGAGACTGTGCTTATAATGTTTCGAAAGGTGCTCACAGTGTGCTAGTATTAGAGACTGTGCTTATAATAGAGAATATACGGTATACAACGTTTCGGCCAATGGCCTTCTTCAGGTAGTCATGGTGTGGAATGGGTGAGTTCACCCAATTGTATCTAAGGACATTATCATCATTATAATTTATTATTTTCCAAATTCCAAAGCACACTGTGTTTTCTGTGTTGCTTTTCAGTATAATGACTATGGCTACGAGGTCATCAATTCTAAGTCGGATGCCATCCATCGCATGGTTAAGACCATGCTGTTGAACAATGTGCCTGTGCACGGTATTGGTATGGAAGCTCATTTCTTCATCCATAATGACGACGGATCACACACGGAGGAGCGACTCATTGACGGAGGTGAGCGATTTGTGACTGAAATCTTCTTCTTTGGGTTGATTCCATTGGGTCAACTCGCTGTCTTACTTTTTCCAGCAAGCTGGTGAGCTGGAATGATGCTGATTGGAGGGCAGTATTGTCAAGCACTTTCTGCAATACAGCTCACAATTTACTGGAGAGAAAAGCCTCCAAGTTCCATGCTTCGGGTTATGCTTTTTCCACACAAAACTCCATTAGAATGCAGACAGCTAGAGGGGTTTGGTAAGACTTGTGCCGGTCCCTTGCAAGTAACAGCTACAGTGATACTGTGGCAGTGTTGGTTTCCCACACTTTGACAAGCTGCATGCAGTGAACGCACATGATACTTAGGCCAGACTGTAGCATAGCCGAACTAAGATAACTCATGTACGTGTACTTCCAGAAGTCAACGTACGAGCACATGTATGCCAAGGTCTGGCACTGACCCGGCCTCGCTGTTTAGACCTTGCCAAAGTACAATGTACATAGCTTGCTACCATCATGTCATCCGACATGTATTGAACTCTGTCAGTGGCAGCGACTCGGAGAGCTAGAAATGCAACCTGAGGCGGCATTTGCTAGATGTGTCCTGAAAATGAAGTTTCTTGACATGTTGCTCTCTGCACTGCTTGCATACTAGATCACAAGCTAGGTTCGCCAGTGCCAGCGGATTGGTCATCGGTGGAGGATAACTTCAGACGATTTATTGATCTGGGTCTGGAGGTAAGAAAGATCAACAGTGGCATGTTTTGATGAGTATTGTTCTGTTTTCTATTCACACCTGTGTCTGTGTGTGTGGGGAAACCCCTACACCATCACCAATGCAAGTGGTCTCTTTGAGATCGAAATTGTGCAGTGGAGCGAAATTGTGCCTTCCCTGCTTGTATGTCATAGGTAGTTTGAAACTGTCCACCTCTCCACACTGCGCTCTTCGCCCACATTCAGGGCAGTGTGGAGAGGTGGACAGTTTTAAATTATTGTGAAATGGCCGAGTTCGTCGCAGCTTTTGAGTTATTGATACGCTTGTATAGTTTTGAAAAAAAGAACTTGTGGCAACAGCTTACTCTCTCCAACATACAATGATGTGCTTGGTGTATATTGTCACTGGTGTGGGTAGTCTGGCTCATGACACGGTGTGTTTACGTGACTCTCACCAATGTCAGATTCATATCACAGAGATGGACGTCAGTATTCCTTCGATAACGAAGTACTTCCTGGAGAAGCAGGCAGACGTGTACAGGAACTTGCTCAAGATATGTCTGAAATTTGCACCAATGTGAGTACCGATTAATGCTGAACATCTTGCTCAAAGAATCCCATGCAATTATTTTTTACATGTTTTGGGATATCATAGTCATCATATTTTCACATCTTTTCCTAGGCAGTGCACATGCAAAGGAATGATTATTGACATGTCCTTACACAATGAAATGTGGCTGGCTGAGCTCCTTCCTTCACCATACATTTAAACTGCTGGTAAGTCTTAGCGTCATGCTCCGATCATTTCTCACTGAAAACGGCTCGTTTCTTCTGCCTGTGTCATTTTGTGCTCATTGTACCAAGGTGCAAGTCTTTCGAAACTTGGGAATTTGTTGACAAGTATTCCTGGCGAACGGGTGAACCGGACTACTTTGATGACAACTACAAGCCAAAGCCATGCTTCTTTGCGGTCGCTGACACGCTGAATACCACAGTTCCAGTGACCAATGGATAATATGGGTGCAATGGTGTGCCTTTCGGCAAAGAGGCCTGGATTGGAACGCGTCTAAACTTGTGGTGCCTCCACGGGCGTGCAATGGCAGAGCACGTGCCCATTGTCCCCGAATATCATGCTTTACACAAAGACGTAGACAAACTACGGTATGCGCTCCTCATCATCGGATGATGACCTTAGCCAGCTGCAATAGGTATAGTGAATGATTGGGGGCTCCCCAAAACACCATGGATTGCTATCACGGATCCGTTTAAGTCATTCACCTCCGTGTGTGTGTGTGTGTTTTTATTATTATTCATTTTCCTCTCGTCTCTCATACCCTGCTGGCACCTCTAGATGAATTCGTATTATTTTGTCATTTTTGTGACTTTTGTGACTTTTCCATTTAATAGATAAACCTGCTAGTACATGTACTTCCAATGCGCACTGACTTCCAACAGTAACTTAGAGAATACGCTGTACAGCTGTCTGGGTTATTTCCACATACCTGTCAGGAGGTATCCAATACTGTCCTTTGGCGTCTCCGACTCAATGTTTGGTAGCAGATGGCTACAACTTGTAGACCGGCGACGCCGTGCCGCCACACACAAGAGTGACCAGGAGCATGGCAATTGCATGAGTAGTTCCCGGGAATCTAACACACCTTCAAGTTCCAAAAGTGTAGTACACAGTACACAGTACAATTTATTACATGTAGTATAATCAGACCGTCCTCCTCTAAACAGAACTAACATGACAACATGTACATGTATAGTGTTCAGTTGTGGGTTCGATGTTTTGCACTATTGTGCTAAGTCGCTCACATGTATCAAAGAAGGCCACGGTTACCGCCAGTTTGTGCTGCGACTTTTAGATAAAATTCAACAACAACGACAACATGTTTGTGGGGGTTGGGGGTAGGGGGGGTACCAGCAACTACCAATCATTGCTGTAGATCTACATGGAGGACTCTGGAGGCCATTCTCGCCATACTGCAGGACATGCTGGCCTGTGGTAGGGATCTCAGCGCATGAACTGCGCAGCCAGTTTGCGCAGGTGAGATTTTAGATCCCAAAGTTGTGGTGACAATGTCTCAGACTCTCAGTCCCAAGTAGATCTACACTGTAGACTCTGCCGTGAACTCTGAACTCCGGCTGAATATGATAGGGACTGCTAACATGAATGTTGCTATGAGAAATAGCATGTATGCTTTATGCCAGTTTTCCGAGTTAGGTTGTGGCCAGGATTGCCCGAATGCACTAAGCACACCCGTAATAAGTGTGCGAGTGAATAGACCACTGACAAGTGTCTACAGTCCAGTAGATCTACACTGTACAGTTCAGAACGATATGACTATTGTTCTATTGAAGACAGAATTCATGGGATGCATTTGGAGCCCCAAGATCACCCTGAGAGGCGGTACGTCCTGGGCCTGGGGATCTACTGTCACAATACATGTACAGTCACGGCATTACGGTAAAAGTATGTCAATCCACCAACCCTTGGTGCCGCTGACATTTTGATACTGTCCTTCCCTGCCAGTGCCAGTTCTGACCTCGCTCTCCACGTGATCGCTGACAATGTTTGTGGGCGTCTGGGGTTCCAGACCCCGATGTAGAGGCAGGCGTTGATCACCGTGTGATAATTGACTGGTTTTCATTTGAGAGAAACATTGAATCAATCTCTAAATGAGCGATAGTTGTCCACCTTGAATGCATTGCACCATGGAGCTGACTGGATTGATACTGACGGCTATTTGCCTGGGTATGAGCAGTGTGGTCGTGGGGAATGAAGTGAGCAAACACCAAGATCGTCTCGCTGGTCGCCCTTCTTCGGTGAGCGACGCTTCTCTGCCTTGTCTCAAGGACTTAGCGAAAAAGTTCGGCATCTGGATCGGATCAGCATCTAATGCTAAGCACATCCACGATGATAAAGAATACGACCAGGTGCTGGCTGAGCAGTTCTCCATCACAACACCGGAGAATGCGTGTAAGTGGTGAGTTCAGAGTTCACCCTTTTGCAGTGGAAACTTTTACATGAAAGTACTTTGGGAACTGTAGTGAAATGACGACCACGAAAATATACATAATACGAGTCGTATCAAGAGTACATAACAATAATAAAATAAATTACCAGTTGGGAAGCAGCCGGTACATGTATGATGATATATCCAAAGCATCCAAAGCATGGTGCGTACTCTCTAGTCTTACCCCCAAGTGCAGATTGTCCCACAAAGGCATGCAACTGCTAGCTCTTGAGTGGCAGGGTAAGTTGATGGTGGCGCAACACACCTCGCAAAATGGTGGTAAATACACGCCTGGCCACACAGCGATCTCTAAGATGCAAAGTTCCGGTCTAAGAGAAGCATCATCAGTTCACCGCACCTGTGGTCTGGTCTGTGCATGACTGGCGATATCGGCACAAGACCGGATATCACCAGTCGTGCACATAGACCATGCGCAAACTGATGGTAGCAGTGAGAGACTGAGGAGTGCTTCACCCCAGAACTTTGCAGCCTAGAGAGCGCTGTGTGGGCAGGTGTGTATTTACCACCATTTTGCGAGGTGTGTTTAACCACCATTTTTCTACTATTATACGAGTACAGTCAACTTTGCGAATAACGACATTCGGCGGGGCATCAGAAAAGTGTCCTTATTCGCAAAGTGTCCTTATATCCGAAGTCCCATTTTAATGTATGTGAACCCATATTTTGTATAGTATGACATGCATATCGAAATGAAGCTCTTTTCATGCTCTACGTCAATTTGTACTATATTTTCGTATTGCAATTGAAAGGAACAATAAAGTCAATATCCAAGGGAAATAAATGAAAAATTAACCTTTTGGAGCCATCTACAGGGACATGTTCAATTGTTCATGTACATGTATGAAGATTAATGAAAAGCACCCCCCCCCCCCCCTGGCTGTATCTTCTTGTATGTGTGCCTTATCCATCGCCACGGCCATTCTGGTACTTCTGCATGACAGGGTAGTACTTGAAATCAGGGAGTCGTAAAATACCGGTATCTTACGACTCCCTGCTTGAAATAGCTGTCAAAAAGCCAGAAAGTCGTTATTCAAGCAGTGAATATGACCTCGGGGCACTAAAATCATGTCGCTATTCGCGAATTGTCGTTATTCAGATAATCGTTATATCCGAAGTTAAATGTATACAGTCAGATGGGACTTTTCTCTGGGCATGGAAATTCTGTCGTTATTCGCGAATTGTCGTTATATCCGCAGTCGTTATTAGCGAAGTTGACTGTATAATGGTGTATTGGAGTCTTCACCAAACCATTATAGCTGTTGAATGAACTGAATATTGACAACAGGCTTCTACAACCTGCTAGTCAAGATACTGACACCTCATTTCTGCTTCAGGACAATAATCCGCCCCAACGAAGCAACGTTCAACTTTACCAACTGTGACTATGTGGTCGCAACTGCCCAGGGCAATAACCAGACGATTCGTGGACATAACCTGTGTTGGGGTGCCCACAACCCAGCTTGGTAAGCCTGATTTAGATACTGCTTACTTACTGCATGTTGAGTCATTGACATAAGCTACATGTACTAACAATTCATGTTAGAGCCTTGCATGATTGGCACATCAAAACTGACACGGCATCTTGAACTAACCTCCTTACCTTGTACATATGTACACACGGTGTGTAGGTCTGACTAAGTAGAGTACAGCAGCAGAAGTAACTAATACTTAGTTCTCTGTGATAACCAGTGAAAGGAGCACTAGAGCCACCAGGAGTAGTCTACGTGCACTCATCGTTCATTCCAGTTCTTAGCAACTATGTATAATGCTCGGTAGTATTCAAATAATAGTCACTAGCATACCGGCACCGGGTAGAGGCCTGAATTCTATCCTCTCTCAGAAGCCTCTTGTATGGGCAATCACAAAGAATGACATCACTGGCACTGCAATCACAAAGAATGACATCACTGGCAAAAAAGCTAACAAAAAATCAAAATACAGTAAACCCTGCCCTAACCGGACTCTCTCTCTCTCTCTCTCAGTCTCTGTGCAGCGGAAACTGTGTTGATGTGACAGGATTCCACTTGATCCAGGGATGCACGTTCAATCCACAGCACTTTGGTGCATGAAAATGTGCCCGGTCAATGCAGGATTGTGGTTGGTACAGGGTTGGTACAGGGTTGGTACAGGGTTGGTACAGGGTTGGTACAGGGTTGGTACAGGGTTGGTACAGGGTTGGTACAGGGTTGGTACAGGGTTGGTACAGGGTTGGTACAGGGTTGGTACAGGGTTGGTACAGGGTTGGTACAGTACAGGGTTGGTACAGGGTTGGTACAGGGTTGGTACAGGGTTGGTACAGGGTTGGTACAGGGTTGGTACAGGGTTGGTACAGGGTTGGTACAGGGTTGGTACAGGGTTGGTACAGGGTTGGTACAGGGTTGGTACAGGGTTGGTACAGGGTTGGTACAGGGTTGGTACAGGGTTGGTACAGGGTTGGTACAGGGTTGGTACAGGGTTGGTACAGGGCCCGGCACACACAGGTTGTACTGTATTAAAGAGAAGATGACGTTATTGATGTCTGTAGACAATGATAACTTTATTCATGCAAAACCTGTAAGACCTGTCTGCACACCGTACTTGTGTTAGAGACCTGAGTTCTATCGGTGCCCCGCACATACATGACTACTGTCGCAGGTTGGACAAGTTTGACAATAACTCCACGGCACTGCGTAGTCTATTGATCACGCACATCAGCACGGTGGGCAAACGCTACGCAGGCCGCATGTACTCCTGGGACGTAGTCAACGGGGCCGTGCTGGACTCGCCGAAGAATGGAACGTATCTGAAGACCAACACGTGGTACCCAGCAGGTAAGATTTTTTAGTTCAGTAAAGTGGCCTACACCATTAAAATGATGCAAATCTGAAAGTGGTCAGGCCACCCAGAATTAATGTATTGTTTCGGGTTACTTCACTCATCCGTACCAGGGTTGGTCGGTCGGGTTTTATTTTATATTTTACTTCGCTGCCAATACTGTCTTGTGAAAGCGGTGCAGTGTTCTCGGGCTGTCAAGCCTTTCGTAGAAGAAATGCCAGAGATGCAAAGCTTACTGGTCTGTTTCGTCAAAACTGGATTATTCTTGTAACTGCACCTACTGGCCATTCTGCATATTTACTCGTCTATCATCATTAATAGTTCTGCGACTCAGCCAGGCATCTACGGATTAATTTAAATGAGTTGAAACCAAAAGAATTCTCAGCATGAGTCGGTCAAGGTGGTGGTGGTGGGGGGGGGGGGGGGTTATCCAGAGACTCATCCATTTTTAATTTCATTTCATCTTACTTGTAGCCTCCAAAATGCAGTCAAATTGACAGGGCTAGGACCTTCTATCTTCAACTCATTGCTGATTGAGAATGGCATGATGGAAAGTTGAGCTGGGCTGTGTGGTGCTTTGTCTATGACTCTTGCTTTCTAAACAGTTCCAGACTACATTGACTTAGCATTCAAGACAACTCATGAAGCAGATAGCTCCGTCAAACTCTTTGTAAGTGTATAGGGCGAGTACTTTCTTCCCCGCCCTTCCACCCTAGCTATGTTAGGTAAGGACAATTGTTGTCCGGACAACACAATGGTGAAAAAATATAGTTCTGAGGTGTCAACCACTACGTATGCTCTTGTGACCAAGCATTACCTTGAGGAATAGATAGGCTTTAGTTTGGAATTTTTGTGCATGCAATGAATCAGTGCTTTGCTGGTGTTCCAATGGATCCAGATTACCACTGATGTACGTTTTGTGTCTCTTTTACTTGAAGTACAATGACTACAACTGTGAGGTCATCAATGCCAAGTCTGATGCAATCTACAAGATGTTGAAGACCATGATGGCCAACAGCGTCCCTCTGCATGGCTTTGGCATACAAGCTCATTTCTCCATCAGTCATGCTGACGCACGTCATGCAAAGAAAAGACTCAGTGGAGGTGAGGGGGGGGGGGGGGAGTAGCACAATGTAAACTGCTGGGTGTTTGCATGTGCTCCAATAGTCCTTATTGCATCAAACCGTTCCTTCATACAGTCATTTGGGATTTGGCACCAAACACAGGAGGCTTTGCCGTGTTCTTATGCCGATGTGCTAAAACTGCCTCCACGGTCACGGTCACGGTCCGGAACCTCCAAGTATGTATGTGTACTTTGAAGTAAAACATTTCTACGTGTATATGGTGCAACGGTGGTGTTGAGATGGTATGAGGTTGCTGTGATAAACTGAGACGGCATGCATGGCTCTTTTCAACTTGTTGATTCTTGACTTTGCCACGTCTTAGGTCACAAGTTTGCATCCAGTGTGCCCACTGACTGGTCGACGGTAGAAGACAACATCAAACGTTTTGTCGACCTGGGCTTGGAGGTCAGTAGTGAGTGCACACAGTAGACAATGTAGGACTTTGCATCAGAGTGTGTGGGAATAGGTAGCAAGAGGTGAGCGAGCCGGTCGCTGATTGCCATTCTTCAGACTGCGGCGTCTGTGAGAGCGATAAAAACTCACTGGCTTCCATGTGCATACCTTTTCCTGTGTCTACTTCATATACATGTTTTATACATACTTCAAAGTATACGAGTACAGTGGTCCCTCTATAACCCGGCACCATTTGTGCCACGGAAAATCTGCTGGATTAGGGAGGCTGCTGGATTAACAAAAATCTGATTTACTGCTGCAATGTGCATGAAGAGGACATTTTGTCTACTGAAAATTGTGCTGGTTTATCGAGCGTGCTGGATTATAAAGTGCTGGATTATAAAGTGCTGGATTAGAGAGGGACGACTGTACCGGTACGTGTAGTGATCAAGTGATGTTATTTCCAGTCAAGGCGCCTGGTAACCATGGTAACAGAGACCGGGTTTTGAAGATCCCTGGAGGGGTCGTCTTAAACAGGTCTCACTGTATGTCTATTACCGGCCTCAGCACTGACAGCAGGCTACAATGAGTGCCCAATGTACTATGAACAGAGCCGTGCGTACTACCAGCATGCAGCAGCAGTGCAGCCAACTCCTCTTTGTTGTTGCGCAGAGCTCGGTTGTGTTAAAAATCACTCCTCAGACAGCATACATGAAGGAGCAAAGTAGGGGACAGAGGTGGGTATTCGTTATGAGTCCCGCGCATCTGTTGCTTGTCGAAACACAGGTTCACATCACAGAAATGGATGTCAGTATTCCATCCAACTCACAGCAGTATCTGGATCAGCAGGCCGATGTGTACAGGAATATGCTCAAAGCCTGCTTGAAGTACGCACCAAAGTAAGTACAAAGTGGGAAAACTTTGGAGAGGTAGGCGCTTGCTTTCCTTCTGCCCAGTTCAATTTTGTTGGACTCCAGCAAACATGCTGTAAGCTGCCAGTCTCTCAACATACCATCAAGTTACCAGCTTACTGGTACGAGGCACAGCCCCACGGTATCCATTTTGGAGGTGCATTTTGTTTTTGTTTTTTAACTGAAATGGTACTGCGGAGGTGGTCAGAGCAGTGCTGCCAACCAACTGGGTCTGTTTTGCGTACTGCGCCTTCTAATGGTCCGTATTTTGCAGTGTTTTTTCTGTACTAACAATGTACTGCCGTGTACACTGCTTGTATTGTGCTTTTTTGACACTCACATGCTTGTCAGTGGCTGAATTTGCTAGTGCAAAGCATGTGTGACTATACCACGACATGATATTCTGTGCTACATGTAGTCGAAGCATGGCATCATTGGCATGCACTCGCTTTGGCGCAGGGATATTCATCGCTCAGCTTGCGCTTGCCTCGCTTCTACATAAATATCTGTATCTGATTCATCCTCTTCAATTTTCCATACCATTTTGCTCAAATCCTGTACTGCGGACGAAGGAGTGATTTTCCGTACAAAGCGGAAAAATACGGGAGGTTGGCAGCACTGTCAGAGCACATGTGAGGAAGTACCAGGCAGGTACTTGGTGGTAGTATAGTGCGGCACGTTTTGTCTGCCTGGCTCAGCCGGTGGTGTTCTAAATAGAGGAGTGGCGATACACACAGCATTGGTCTGCATATCCAACGATTGAACAGAGATTTATCATAATTGTACCTCCTGGCCCTCCTTCTATGCCACACTCAGAGTCATTCCACTCTTCCTTATTGTGTTGTGACTTTCAAATCAAGGTGCAAGTCTTTTGAAACCTGGGGATTCGTTGACAAATACAGCTGGAAGAAAAACGACCCGGATTACTTCGATGCTAGCTTTAAGCCAAAGCCATGCTTCTACGCCGTGGTTGATACGCTCAACACAACGCACGTTCTATGATGTCTCTATGTGCTGAAGTGACAGTGGTGACGACCGTTTACTGTCAGCATGCATACTAGAACCAGTTGAATGATATTTTTATGAGTGGAGAAGTAGCGTAAGTTAGCATGATATTACACAACCAAATGATTCTCATGATTCAGGATATAACGTGCGATTTTAGAAAGGCTTATTTGGATGTACCGGTATCACGGTGTACGGTGCCTGCGGTAGCTAGTACTGGTAGTAGCTACATGTCACTTGTAAGGGCATGTAACTATGCTTAGCCTGCTGATCACTTTGCCGATATGCTGTATAATCTATTGTTTCTAACCTCCTGTGCTCTATTTGGCTCCACCAGCCTACTAGCCCACTTCACGAGTTGAAGCTGGTGATGCATGTAAAAAATGATGTAATGTTCTTTGAAGTACAAGTAGTCGAGTTTGTGTACGCTCATGATAATTTAATTTATTTGCCGTGTCATAATTCTAGCAGATATCTGTGAGGGCCTATTGCGTGTTTGTTGAAGATGCTTGGGCAGTCACTGAGTGTGCAGGTCATGTAGCCTATGGAGTTTGTTGAGCATTCTCTGGATGCTACACTGTGTAGATAACCGGCTTGAGATTGAACAATACACGGTCACTGATGTAGTATGAGGGGATGGGGGGGGGAGGGGGGGGGGGGGGCAAGCCAGTAAACACATTAGCCGCGTGTAGGGCACTTTACAGTCCAAGCTAAACCTGACTCTTCTCATCCGACCACCAGGCACTCTCGAATGCTTGCTTGCCAACTCCACGCACAGTTGCCAAAGTGGCGAATGTTGGCTCGATGGTGTCGCCAACATGGAGATTCCCTGGGTCCGATAACAACTGTCTGGCACTGAGAACTGCTACCTGTGCCATGTGGGCACACATCAGTGTATAGACAATGCTCTTTTCCTTGGGCAGCCAGTGGCGTGTCCAGGATTTGGCTGAGGGGGGGGGTTGCGGCTGGGATCAAGGCGGGCTGGGGTGGGGGTAGATGACATCATGCTACTGTCCCAGGTCAGCCATTTTGAAAACCGATGTCAAGAAGCTCCTCCTGTAGCCCCCCTTCTTCAACAGTTATTCACCCGAACGGCCCCAGAGACTGTTCCGGAGGATCAGCGCACCACACGGGGACAAGTGTCGAACTTGCTTCAAGTTCCCTTTCTTCGTGGGCCTGCGGGACGATCGACCATGATGTTTCGGGCAAGCATTCTCTGGAACGCTCTCCCCTCTGATTTTAGAGTGATACATGTCCCTGGTCCCTTCCGAAAAGCTCTTTCTGCCATTGATATACTTACTTTGTGAATATCCTCGTTAAACTTTTATTATCTGCCATAAATTCCAACCTTCTCATCTATCACATTTGTGCATGCATGTCTATAAAATCAACCACGTGTTCCTGACTCCATGAGATTGTCTTTCTATTCTTTGACTCCATGAATTGTCTTTCTATTTCTGACTCCATGAAATTGTCTTCATATAAATTTTTCCTTTTCTTCTTTTGGTCCTTTCTGTCTTATAATAGTATTATTATCATTTCTTGTTTTCCCTTGCATATCATCCCTTCATCATTCTGTGAGAACCTGTCCTATGGGCAGGTGAGAAGGCATCTCTGCCTGCTCATTTGGTGAAGTAAAATAAACAACAACAAGCCGTAAATCTCACACACCACGAGCAGTATTTCTGTACACGCAGCAACAATGTACATTGTAAACTTCAAATTTGCCGTTAGGTGAACGAATCAACTGCAATTATTTATGCGAGTCCAACAATTTCTCACCGCTCTCAAAGAGTCAAAGCATCCTTTACATAGGCAGCGTAACTTTTCACTGTGCGCTGTTCTTCATGTTCTGGCTGCTCGCTGACAACAGGTTCTTCCACGTCTGGCGGAGTGTGACTGTCAGTCCGCTCCGAAAGTTCAACTGGAATAACAGCGACTTCATCACTCCCACTGTTTCCTGTTGGAGCGGCAGCAGGAGTTGCGCCGCAACAGGAACGCTTTACAAAAATTCCAGGCTCTGCTGGCTAGAGCTTGGCCTTTTGGGATGTCCCTGAGACATCGAAGAAAAGCCTTCGAGTCAACCAAAACACGATTCGAACGAGGATGATCGCCTGAGCCCTCGGCATTCGAATCGTGTTTTGGTTGACTCGATCGAAGACTTTTCTTCGATGTTTGTACGTATTCGACGTTGAAGACGCGTCGAGCGCGTCCCAGCAGGGATCACACTGTATAACAGTAGATCTACACAGTCAGGTCACCGTGTTTCTGTAGCCGTGCATGCTCACTGTACGCAGACTCTCCTCTGTACTTAGACTGTAGACTGTACTGTACTAGTCCGTAGTGTGTAGATCTACAATCAACACCAGCTCGACCGTGCAACCGCTTTTGGACAATCGTTTCAGGCGGCGCGCCCCCGAGCCTAGTCTACAAGTTGTAGCTCGACCCGGCGCTCTGGCTAGTATTATTTTTGGAAACCTAGGTCGAAATTTTTGAGGGGGGGGCGCGCGCCCCCCGCGCCCCACCCTAAACCCGCCACTGGCAGCAGTGGAACAACATCAAGGAAGCCGTGTACAATAGCTGTAGACACGCTCACACAGGGTCTGCCGTGTCCACCACGAAGAAACCAGCACAGATCGCCAGTTCAAACATTAGAGAGGTTCCGCACTACGTAAAGTTGAGCAACTTTACGTTAGTGGGCGGGGAAAACCCGTGAATTCGCGAGTTTGCACTCTACTTAGGGCCTGGTCAGACTGCGGCAAATTTTGGTTGCCTGACGAAAACAGAACAGCGTCCAGAATTTGAATCGCGATCACACTACACATGTGGGGAGAGTGAAAATTCAAACTTCATTTCGAGCGTCAAGTGGTAATCTCCACGAACGACGTCAAATTCCTTCACCTTGGGGATCGCCAACACCTTCAGTGCAATCCTTGCAACCATCCTTATGAGTTTTGTTGTTGTCCGTGGCCAATTAGCTCCTCGATATCGAGATGAAAAAATCAGTGATTATCAGCGTCAATGGCGTATCAGCGTCAAATCCTGTTTGGAGCGGAAAAGCGTGGTCCGTTCTTGCTTTTTTTTTGGAGCGTCAACTCTCGCTTTTGCCGCTCTGGCGGCAAGTTACTATGGAGATTCGGATTATAATCCTAGGATTATTTCGATTTTGCCGCAGTCTGACCAGGCCCTTACGGAAAGTTGTCTACGTAGAGTACGTAGATAGGGCTCTGATAACGTAGCTGGTCCGTAAGTGGATTGGGGTACAAACTTATGACTCTCTCCCCAGGTCGATCTGGTCGTACACTGCCGCGTTCGGAGTTGCCAAGGGCAGCTACGTGATTTGAAAACTCCGTATGGCGGAACACAGATGCGCATGCAGTTTACGTAAGACTTTCCGTAGATCGACTACGTTTTTTACTAACGTAATTACGTTATGCGGAACCTCTCTTTTTTTTTTTTTTTTTTTCTAGGTCACCAGGTCACTGCATGCATGCATGCAGTATCCATTGACCACGGGCTTTATTTTCCAAGGTGGACTAGTGAAAAACGAAAAAGAAGTTAAGAGAAGTGCAAAGCAGAGCTGGAGTGCAGCCGCCCAATAGCGGACTGAAAACTACTAGTAGTAGGATGAAAAGAGCACAGACGAAGCCAATACAGTCAAAACCAGAGGCAAATGGTATCAAATGCGAATGCCCGCCTCAGCAACCGCCAAGGTGGGAGGTGAGTCCAACTGCACCGGCCGAAGATTCCGGGATCCGCGCAAACACATCACGCTGGACCGGAGTAGGGCAAAACTCAATTTGCATCGAACCCAAGACATAACACAGCTGTATGCTTCTCCAGTCTTCGCGGCTTGAAGAGAAGCTATCCGCTTGTAGAGCGACTCCGCGTGTTTGCCCAAACCACCAGTGGTAGAGAATATGGCCGGAACAAACGACGAATGCTCTATGTCGCGGACACGTTGCTCGTAGCAGCGCCGCTTCTCCTTCTCGTGCTTGGTGTAGCAGGAAGCAATGGAGGTGGCGCGGTTTGAGGTCGCATGAGGATTGAAAACCCTCACATCGATGAAGGTGCGCTCAAACCGGCCACCCCAGATGCCACTTGCCGCAACGTCGAGACGGGCCTGCTCAGTCTGAATAGCGGTGCGATACCGGAACTGCTCCCCAGTGACCGGCTGCAGGTGGGGCTCCACGGAGACATTGTGAGCCACTCGCTTCAGCATATGGGCAGTGAGGTCACGCACCTCATTGTGCCGCACCGACGGAAACCCCCCTGTGGGGCAAGACAAAGCGTGAGCGACTGAAAATGTGGCTCCACAGCTGCAAGATGATGGCAGTCGCTGTGGAAGCCAGCCGTAGCGCAAGTGGATTCCGTCGCGGAACTCACCCTTGGTGAGGGTCAGGCCATGCCGCTTCAAGGGTCGACAGGTCAGCCAGGAAGAAGCTCCCTTCTCCGACGCTAGCGCAATGACCCGCTGCAACTCAGTATCCACAGATGAGGAAAGAAGCACAGCATCAGCCCGAACCGAGGCGTCAACTGTGTTCTTCGCTTGCTTCTTGGCAGCGCGTACATCGTCAATGGCGGTGCCTAATTCCATATCTTGGACCAAGATACGGCTTGTCAGGGGCGCGGTGATGTCTCGAGAAGACTGATATTGGGAGGCTCGCGACGATGGGTGGGGCAGCCCGAGACCGCCGAAGCGACACGGAAGAGCAAGGAGGCTGCGCTCCTGCGGAACCTCTCTACTATGTAGCTGAAGTTACAGTCAGTGAAGTCGATCAGTACAGTCCACAAACACGATTCTGCGGACAAGAGCCGTCGTCATCGTCGTTGCAAGTGAGAATATTTGAATCAGAGAGATCACCATGAATTACGCCGCGCCTGATTTCATTCTTTTCGATCAGTGGTACGGCTATCATTTCATACTCCTGTAGGACGTCACTGCAGATACGCTGACGCTCTGTAGACAAATCCAGGTGTTCCAGGTATTGTCGGATCGTCAACACATCCGTCGGGTTCCAGTCCACCAGACCGGCGGATTGTATTCCGTCGACGATGTCCTGCGATAATGTCTATAGTTGACAAAGCAGAGAGCAGGGGTACTGTTGCTCCGCAGTGCCACAGTGTGTGTGTGTGTGTGTGTGTGTGTGTGTGTGTGTGTGTGTGTGTGTGTGCGTGTGTGTGTGCGTGTGTGTGTTCATCAGCCTTGCAAGCTGTTGAATGGTGTAATCCCACTGCACAAGTTGCTATGTCTAACATAGCTTATCGCTATCATCGCTCCCGCGATGGGAATATCCGAGTGTGTGTGTGTGTGCGTGTGTGTATGTGTGTGTGTGTGTGTGTGCATGTGTACGTGTGTGTGTGCATGTGTACGTGTGTGTGTGTGTGTGTGTGTGTGTGTGTGTGTGTGTGTACATGTGTGTGTGTATGTGTGTGTGTATGCACATGTACGTGTGTGTGTGCACATGTACGTGTGTGTGTGTGTGTGCACAGCGCGTACAGCATACACTGATTTATAGTAGCATATACTGCCCTTGTCTATGTATCGATGTAGCATTAGCAACTCAGCTACAAAAACTACAAATACATAAAGTAGGCCGTAGGACAACAGGCAGTGGTTCCATTGAATAAACTAATTTCAACTCCCACAAACCCCACACTATATATGAAGTGGTCACTGGCCATTCCAAGCCATGCGTTGTTTGGATTAAAGCAATACCCCCCCCCGTCTCCTTCCTGCACTTCACTCTTCAGTACCATATATACAGAGAACAGAAAGCAACCACGCATACGCACTGATGCATAGGGAGATGGAAATCAGAGTGTGGTAACACTACGTACATGGGGTGCTTGTTAAATTACCCACTCACATTTCCCAGTTCTATAATAATACAGACTCGTACACATTATATAGGTCTGTTGCCACCAGGGAGTCGTAAAATACCGGTATTTTACGACTCCCTGGTTGCCACTGTTACCCCAGCAACCCACCTTACCAGTACTACAGCTAACCATCATGAGATGCATTGCTAGCACACCGCCGCCGACTTACCTCGAAGTATGCTTGCAGCGCCCCGCACCAGTTTCCAACATCCTCCATTAGATGCACACATCTAGGATTAGAGCATGTGTCGATGCTAATCCCGTCCACGTACTCCAGAACTCAGGCAGAAGCATGGCATTGCAGTGTTCAGACGACGGCGACGCCAGCGGCATACCGCCATCAACACCCCGCCGCCGGGTGACTGGAATTTCCGTCACACAACTTCCGTCCACACTCTTCACCGCCCGGGAGCACACCACGCCGCGTTGGCTAGCACCATCCAGCAGCTGACCAAGCGCACGCAATCTCCGCTCGCTGCTGCATGGATCCGGATGGAAGACTTTGAGCACAAACTTTCTCACAGGCTGTCTCTCTTCTTCGGACTCCATTCTGGGAGATTGGCCGTGATCCAGATCGCTTTTTGTTATGGCGTGGCCACAAATGATCAAGAAGTTCTTATCTTGAAATGCACCCAAGTCGCTGACATTAATGGTGCATTTCTCCAGCTCGCTGCTGGCCATGCCATATGCACTTTGTACGTGCTCTGAAGCGTTCAGATCGCCCCAGCTGCACTATTCATGGCATAGACTCTCTGCTCTAGATGATCAGTTCCGATGATCATGAAGTGAGTGAAGTAAAGAGTCCACAACCAGGGAGTCGTAAAAGCTAAAAGCCCTCCCTGTCCACAACCAATCGGACCCGGGAGTCGTGATGTCAAAAGCCCTCCACTGTGACCACGTAGCGAGTCAGCGACTCGGCTGTGGAAGATTTTCTTTTGACCAGACGACGCTTGCAGACACCAGCAGCGCAGCACGAACACTCACTGCCACCAGTCACACTCCACAACAGCTAGAAGCTGTGTCCATTATGATGTTGGGAACTCATCAGAGGAGATGTACATGTAGATGTTGAATGAAATGCCGGGATAGAACTAAAATGATAATAATATTCGCGGGATCCGCGTTAGCATCACTTGAATGTTCAGAAACACACACAAGCTATACTACATAGCCTTCGCTTCCGCAGGCCACCACTAATATGTATATATTATACCAAGGAACCGAGTGTATATATCTCGATATACACGAGGTTCCTTTGTTATATTTATACCTCTCCATATTCACCGTGTGTGACCTAATGGCTTGTTCCTCGCTGACAACTACTGCTAATTCCCTTTAGCGGTGTATATGGAGATATATACACCACTAAGGGAGAGCATGCCTAAGACTGTAAGTGTATATGGAGTGAGGTATAACAAGAGTACCGTATTATCTCTAATATAAGCACGGTCCTTTATTTTTTCAATGTACCTCCGCCCCGTGCATGCTATTAATGGAGACGTTCCTTTATTGGAAACCGTTCCATTATTATTTCAACCTCATTTCAGAGGCATGTTGCCATGCCAAATTCATGTCAGACACACACATTTCAGGGTTTTTTCGCCGGTACAGATAATGAATTTACACAGTGTGCTTATAATGGAGACTGAGCACTTTATTTTTTGAATGCCGCCCCAAGGTGTTCTATTATTGGAGACGTGCTTATATTAGAGATAATACGGTAATTATCACTGATATCAGTTCTGGTGATCAAGCATATTTTGAGCATATTTTTCTGCTTTTGTGTGATTTCGAAGCATATTTTGAAGCAAATGGCCAATATGCGAAAAGCATAATATGCGAAAAGCATAATACCGGTATGCGAAATTTTTGAGCATATTTGGGCCCTCCCTATTTGAGGGAAAGAGACGAAGGGGAAAAGTCTGAAGAAAAAATTGACTGTCACCACCAGGACACGAACCAGGGACCTTCGCTTGTAGCTAGCGATGCTCTAACCACTGAGCTATGGTGTAGTCGTCATCCCAGCAGAGGCCGTTCAACATTTTCTTCAGACTTCGTAACTCACACTTCCTATGAATCCACACAGGCGGGTGGGACGCAGCCCTCACTGTAACCCACACACTTCACGTACAAACTAGCACGCGGGGAGCCCCAAGTCATAAAATATTAACTGGTTTGAGGGAAAGAGACAAAGGGGAAAAATAATTATTAAAAGGCCAAAACAAATAATGACCTTGTTTCCGGTCGGCCGACCGGGCCACTTTTTCCCAAATTCTGATACTTTTTTTGGTCCCAAATGTATACAAACGGTGGCAATGCCATGTGTGCAAGTGCACTGAACGAGTCAAAACTCAGTCAAATCTCAACCGAATTCCACAATCGAAACACCTACAAGGTAGCAGAGATTCTCAGCTGTCGGCTCGAAAACCTCCGGGGTCGATTATTATTATTATTAAAAGCATGTCCGCGTAGGTGGCGGGGGTGCCACTTTCGCTTATGCCATTCAGGATTGATGTCTGAAGAGTAATACGATACAATGAAATGACAGAAGTGACGTCAACAAAAGCCGGTAGCAACAGGACTAATGCCGTAATGGAAAACTTCATCCACTCACGCTGCTATCTGGTGTTCACGAGGTGTTTGTCGCGCTGGAAACAGAGCGTCTCTGTAAGTTTGTATCCCTGGTGATGTTTGTGCCTGGAGAGCACTATAAAAGTGGTGCTCTTCCACCACCACCGTGCATCGGCACACACACCAGGCTTTCCTTGGCTTGATACAGAGTGAGTTAGGGCGCGTTCGAATTGTCACTCTTTGACTTTTCGAGGAGATTCGTTTTTCGATAATTTATCACTATACACGGAGACCCCCTCGACTTAGGCCTCGGCCTTTGGGGAATCCATTAATAAAAGATTTAAAAAAATCCGGTGCATCACTATAGCCGATTTGCATGTTTGACTGACACATGGCACATGCCTGTGCATGACTTGAAATGATGCGTACACCCTGGAAAAAGCATGAAAAGCAGCCACGTGTACATGTGGCTGCTTACAGCATACAGGGAAGAATTTTCTCTCACTCACATCTGCTGCCAGATGCATCCAGGCAACACTGGATCAGTTTGGGAAGAAGTGAACTTTATTGGAAGAACACTTGTTTTGTGATTTAATATGGTTTGCTTCCTGAAGCCCATCACAATCATAAGCGATATATCGGTATAGCCGATAATAGTGTGTATAGTGATATTTTTAATAGCTGTATTTTTTTCGGATTTGATTTTGATTTTGGCGAGTTCTATCATTATAGCCGGTATATCGTTATAGGCCATTCACACGACGGGCAAACTTACTTTTATCGTACTGTTTCCAGGGATATTTACTCGGATACGATAAACTTGGACACACGCTTGCAACTGATTTTTTATCTTGGCCAAGGCCCTTTTGCTCGCGATTATCTTTGCACGCCAGGAAAAGTGTCGGTTGTTGAAAGTGCGTACTGCAAATGCAGTGCATGAACAAGGGAAAATTCAAAATTGAACATTTCCCGGCATTTTTAGGAGGTCACTATGGATACATTGACGGTTGCAAAGTTTGCCCAGCACCGTGTGAACAGGAGCACGGTTTGCCAGTGTTATCTTGGTCACACACGTGCAAGTGTTTCAAAGTACACGTCGTGTGAATGGCCTATAACACGTACACCAAGAGTCCAAAATGTTTATGCACTCTTGGTTAACACCCGGTCACTTTATAAACGATACTCACTGTACGTACGTGGATTTGGTCGATCTGATCGGACGTCATCATCGCCATGACAATTCCACCGAAGAACTCTAAAAATGATAGAAGCCGTTCTAATGCATTGTGGGACACTTCCACTCTCTACAATTGTAGCTCTTTGTTCGAACAGTTGATGAACAGAAGTCATTCAAGACAATTCGAACGCCCCCTACGTCTTTCGGATACGTAACGACTCTACGTACAAACACGTAACGAGGTGTTTTTGTTCTGCTCTTGACTCTTGCCTTGTCTTGGCTTATGAATATGAGTGACTTGGTGCATGTACGACAAACGGTACACAGCAGGGAGTAGTATTTTACTACTCCCTGGTACACAAGTACATGACTGTACTCATAATGCACTTCCCCCGCCGGCCGCGCCCGCGGTGCCCTCACGTCACGTTGCAGCAATCTACTTGACTTGTACCAAGACTGGCAAGAGTGTTTATTATGCACTCTTGCTTGTACGTGTTTGACTTGCAAAATAAAAGGACTGCAAAATTTATTTTGATTGCAGCTTCCACTTTTTCACTTGCTTCGTGCTTTTTGTCTTGCTTGCTGAAAGGCGAAGCTGTGGACAGTTGGTTCAATGTTCTTATAATCCTTTTAGAGTTTGTGGCTCCTGGTCAACCTCGGCCATGGATCACATGGTGTATGATGGGGCGTTGTTGGATGATTCACAACTTCAGGATCAGCTCGACCCGGATGAAAGTTTGAACGATGAAACATTTGGTGGAGGGCTTGACGATGGAAGTGCCTGGGAGCAAAATCAGGCAGAGTTTGAGCGCCTGCGTCAGCAAGACCTCGGCTTCTTTTCACATAGTCTTGTTGGTCGTCCTGTTGGTCCTCCTGATTCAGTCCCATTAGAGTCCAGTGGTCAAAGTCGATTCGAGCGTGGTGCGGATGCAGATATTTTTGGGCGATCAGTGTCATTCCCATCCTCGTCTCAGGCGGATAGTGATTTGATGCCCCCGTCATTTTTCCATAATGATGAGGATAGCCAGCCATTAGCTGCGCTTGATATCAACCAAACCCTGAATCGTCTTTTGTCTGACACAGAAGAGGAATATGATGCTGAACCTGAAACGAATCATAATGCTGTGAGAGAAGTCCTGCAGCCGAATGGAAGGGCTGCAGACCTCAAGAATCAGTGGAATTGGCATGGTCATCAGCAGCAGCATCATCAGTGCATACCACGCAGAACTGCTACTGGCAGTATCCAGTCGGCGGTGAATGAGATAAGTAAACTTGATTTGAACGAACTGATGAGTCCTCATAGTAGACGACAGGAGTCCATGCCCCCGTCACGGGCGACACCGACAGAGTCTAGTATATCAGTGTCGAATCTACTTGCATCTGGGACCGGTCTAGGCCGCCAGAAACAGCAGCAGCAACCGCCGCCGCCAAGGAACGCTGTTGATCTGAGTTCTTTGCTCGGGGGTGGAAATGCGCAGACGTCATCGCCACGTCTCCCGCCCTCGTCTAAGGGTGGAAGGTTGGAGGATATTGAATCTAGCATCAGGCAACACAGCCACAGTTCATCGCCAGTCCACGATCGTCCTGACGGCTTTCGAATGGGTCCCAATGACCATGGTCATCAAACTGGTAAAGAATGGCTGGAACATATGCAGGCAATAGGCGCCCCGGAAGGCCTACAGAGATCGAGTGTTGATGCTGGTATGCCACCTCGGCCGCCTCACATGTTTCCCCCGAGACCAGGCATGGCTAGGCAAAGCTCGCCCTCTCCAGCTGGCCCGCCAGCACCTCCGCGTCCCGATGGAAGACCTGGCTTTCCACCAATGCATCCGCCTCCGCCGAACATGCCGCCTCCACCGATGCACCCGGCATTTCGTGGAATGCAGCCGCCACCCTGGCTCTATGGCAACATGCCTCCTCCACCATCAGGCAGCCAGCGCATGCCTGACATACTCCATTACCCTATGCCGCCGGGTATGCGACCACCGCCGCCACCTGGTGGTGTCGATCCTAATTGGCGTGGCCCTGGCCTACCTCCCAACTTCCGCCCTCAGCTGATGCCAATGGGACCACCACCGCCACCGAACATGCATGGATCAATTCCACCCCCTTCGGCATCATCCCCATCTGGTGCGCCACCACGTCAGTCTTCGCAACAGCGACATCAACAACAGCAGCAACAGCGCAATGTTCTCGACTACCCGTTTGTGTTCATGACCAACAGGGAGAAGGATTGGATACTCAAAGTGCAGCTTATTCAACTCTCAAAGTACAGTAGCTACTTGGATGACTATTACTACCTGCGTCATCGCCAGCGCAATCCTTCCAGTCAGCCAATGCTCGGCTTGCCGAAAATGGATGATGACTTTGAAGTGAAGCCTGAGAATCCGCATGGCCGTGTTACGATCTTTGAGGGTGCTCTCGGAGGTCGCATATCAGCCGGATCTGTTCATTGCCCTCGGCAAACGTTGCTGCTCAATGCTCCTATCAACGTGTCGAAAGCAACGAATCCCAAGGAGGTCCAATCCACCATGCACCGCCGGCGCACGATAATGCACTCGATTGAACGTGTGTATGATAAAGTGTTGGCATTAGAGGATCAGCATCTTGATCGTTCGTCGCCACCTAATGATGTCTCTCCGCAGACGTCACTGTCCAGCATCTTCAAGCTGATGAAAATCCGCCCACTGCAGGAACGCGTCCAGGACTTGAAAGATGTCAGCTTAGATGAGCATGCAGTGGCCTTCCTGTCCGTGCCCAAGGGAGCTCGGCTGGTGGTGCGTGTGTCTGCCAAGCTGTCTGTGTCTGAAGTGCAGAGCGTTGCCGGATTGCTCTGCCATCATTTGTTCCCCTTCATTAAGCGTGACGAGGACAAGCGGTCGGTGAAAGCTTTGCTCTCCGGTTTGAATGAGCACCTGCAGCGATGGTCTCTCAATGTTCTAGCGTGCCTGTTGGACATGCTTATTGCGCAGCCAACGTTCAACAAGGTGGCCACGGTTGCCCTTCTCATTGAGCAGTACCCATCCACAGCGCTCTCATTCTTGGTCGGATTGGTGGAGAGTGCGTATCGCCAGTGCACTGGGTCGCCGCAAGCCAGCAATAGCTATCCAGTGCAGCAGTGGTGTCAGCTAAGCCAGCGCATGCTTGCACAGCTGGAACCGCATCACGAAATCCTTATGCAGCACCTCAGCAGCACAGACAAGTCAGCATACCGAACCCTGGTTCAGTACTTGGTAAGTAGTGGGCCTGCTCTGTTCACATCCTCGACGCCTGGGACAGCCGCAGCCAGCAGTAGCAATTAAAGTGGACGGTGAGCAGTGGCATGACCGTATAGCAATGTTTATCTGAGTTTTTGCTGTCTTTTTGAGACCATTGGAGCTGATCTGGCATCAACGTCCAAGGAGCATGAGTTGATCTCTTCTTCAAATGCTTCCACCTCCAGTTTTGGTGGAACGAAAGTCCATACACTCTCACATGGTGTTTGATGTAAGAGACATCTGGCTGCTTTTGAGTTCAGGTTTCTTTGGCCTTGGTGTCCGCGTTACAAACTGACTGTGTCGTCTCTCATTATATTTCTTGTGTACTGCTGGCACCTGTGCCGTGTAATTCTGACGTTCCGCTGACCATGCAGCGACTACAAGTAAATCTTTTTCTAGTATAACATTTTACAACATACATATCCTGGCCACGGCCGGGTGCATCTGACCTCTTGGTCGCTCTCTCGGTCTGTCTAAACATAGTAACAAATGGCACATGATTTATTTCACCGTTCCGAACGTATAATACCTTTGCATGCGTAACCGCTTCGCTCCCCTTACCAGTGTGATAGCATTCATGTAAGTAACTCATGCAACATTATGGTCTATTTTTTGGCTCCTTTTTTACGTGCTGGCCTGTATTGTTTCAGTTTCTTTGGCGGCCTTCGGCGCACATTCTTGCTCTCCAGGAGCTTGAGTTGTAGTTTATTATTGTTTGTCTCGTCTTCTATTCCTTTTTTGATCGAAGAAAGTATGTAGTTTGCAAGCAATGTCAGTGTGTTGTGATGCAACTGCATTTATTTACTTCAGCTGGCTGCTTAGAGCCTTACCTACAATCTAGCTACGCTGTGCATTTTAGTATTGCATTGCCTCTCACCGGTAACAGTATAACATATTGAAGATGGAGAATGTGTGTGTGTGTGTGTGTGTGTGTGTGTTGATCTGTCTCATTCAGATCTTGCCCGCTACCGTTGCTATATAAGAGAAAATCTGTGGGTGCACATCCAGTGCATTTGCAGATTTGCGTGCTTCTCTTGCGACGGGGGTATACATAGTACATGGTGTGTGTGTGGCTGTTGAATGGTGCAATCCCAGCACAAGTTGCCATGGCTTCTGCTGTAGCATCGTGATTATCCCCTCCGGCGATGGGCGTCAAAAGATCAAGGTGTGTGTGTGTGTGTTGCTTAGCTCATCCTTCGGACGACTCTGTCTCTCTCACACACACACTCCCTCGCTCTTCTATACCTTTCAGACAACAGTGGATGACTTCAGACTCACACAAAAAACGTGAATATTGCTACTTCACAATGTGCTTCTCTTGAGAGGACACATAGTTTTTTGTCTGCAACATTGAAGCGTTAGTTAAAAAAAATAGCGAACGGTATCTTTCGGCCATTCAACGATACATCAATCTATCCTCGTCTCCTCTGTTTGTCAGCTGAGAGAGCATGGAGGAGACGAGGAGAGATTGCAAACTTAAGTTGTCACAATTATGCATAAGGTAGGTGTAGGTATAGGACATATCAACAAAACTATAGATCATTCTTACATTGCCAGAAACAATGATGATGGGGTTAAACGATAATACTTTGAAGTAGCAGGTTACCGGTACTTGTTCTTATTCATATGTTTGAGTGAAATCTTTGCATGAGTTGATGTGGAAATATGCATCGGCATCAAATATATACGTGGGCTGGCAGTATCACGAATAACCAGAAATCCACAGCGGTGTGGATGTACAGTGTCTGCGGTGAGCACAGTGTTTGTTTGCAGCGATGCAAGAGCATTTGCCTTGTCAGTTTCCACATACTAGTAAAATTAAAAAGAAGGAAAGGAGGACTTTTGGTATGTAGTCCGGATCCGGGTGGGCGGATGGAAGAAAATACAATCGTTACGTTTGTATTTGGACGTTTGGATTCGAAGAGAGAAGTGGTGAGCACACATGCTCCTTCCCTAGATTCGAAGAGAGCTTGAGAAACGCTGCTACTGGCACAGAATGAGTACCAAGGCATTACAGCACCCTGTCATGCCAGTTGCTGAGGCTTTGCAGAGTATGTCACGGTACACTGTAGAAACTCAAAGGTGCCGGAAGTGCTCCCCTGAGTGGAGGCACACACACACAGTTGACGGTCGTGCAACTTCAACTGCACACCTTGAACAGCAGCACACAGCCTGTCTTTGCTTATGGTTGGCTTATCCCAATACTGAAACCTATGACCAGTCACGGGAAGAGAAATCTCAGGTCGCAGATCCGCAGCCAGCACGCTCAAAGAGCTCCAGACTGTGTGAATCTTTGGTGGAGAACACAGCATCATCATTATCATCATCATGATTGTCGTCATTGTCAAAGGATGCCAATGATTCAGTGAGCGATGCCAGGGAGTCGGCCGAGCTTGAGCAGCGAAACTGAACATCCTGTGTGCAGAGAGCATCTACAAATCCATCGGCGGATCTTGCCAGGAGGCACAGTGCTTCATCTTCGATGTGCATCGCACGGAGTTGTACGCCATCACACTCTTCACCCATTCCACGTGACTTGAACACAGCTTGTTCAAGGACTTCACTTGCACTCGGTCGCCGTGTTCCATCAAACGTCAAGAGGCTCGTCAGCAGAGACATTTCTAGAAGGAAAAAAGGGCACAGGAAAGTCAGAAATCACATTCAGAGTTTCACACACAAGTCATGTACTTCATATGAAAATGTGTGCTGGTTTCATGCATTTCTCAATACATGTATCAAAGAAGGCGGTCGTACAAGGATGTCCAGGATTTTTCCAAAGCAAAAAGTTTTAGTTCCGGCGGTGGTGCCTGAGTGGCATTTTCTGGTAAATACGGTATGCATACAATCTAACATGCTAACAGTCAACACGCTAACATTCCCGACATGATACGCGCTGCTTCGCTCTTTTGAAGGGAGTCTTTCACATGATCAAAGCCCATATAAACAGAGGGCAATAAATAATTAATTACCTTCAGCTGTGATGTGAGGTGGCAGCAGGCACTGTAAGCCACCATCCACTGCGTCCACTGCTTCAGGTCCGTCGTTGACGGTGGCGGTGACACCAGGCAGATCAGAGGTGCCCGGCAGTCCCATGAGATTGCATATGCGATGCAGCTGGTCGGTGTCATTCGAGCCGCAGAAGAGCACGACGCCGTGCAGAAGGAACTCGGCCAGGATGCAGCCCGTGGACCAGATGTCGACCGTGCTCGTGTAGCTAGTCCGGTCAAGTAGCAACTCGGGTGCACGGTACCAACGGGTCGAGACGGCATGGGTCAAGTACCCGTCATGGCTATATTCTCCATCGATCGCCCGCGCCAGGCCAAAGTCTGCGATTTTCACTACGGTTGGACGGCCTGAATTGTCAACGTTGACCAGGATATTGCCTGGCTTGATGTCTCTGTGCAGTACGTTGGTGGAGTGTATGTGCTCGAGACCACTGAGTACATTGTGAACAACGCCAAGGCCAATACTAGACCAGTCCTCGTCTGACCAGCGTACGCCCAGACCAGACCGCGGACCACGCTTAGCCATGCGGAGCAGTTGCCCTACGTCCATGTCCATCTTCTCCAGTGTGACGTGCAGCGAGGTGACGTCGCTGGACGTCTGGTCCACAAAAGCAAAGCTGGAGTACATGTTCACAATGAACGGGGACGGCTGCAGTCGAGAGAGAATGAACAACTCTCTGAAAGCGGACATACGTACGTATCCATGATGTAGTCGACCCATTGTCTTTATCACAACGGACCTGGAGGATCGTGACTTTCGTTCCCAGAATTCTTCGCGAGCAGAGAAAACACGACCATAGCCACCAGAGGCCAGCAGCTTCACGTTGGAAAATCCTTCAGCGGTATCCATGGTGGATGAATGACCGTGCAGGTGATTTTCCCAAGCCAAGATAAATCATCTGCTCCAAACTCAAACACCGACGTTGGCGAAACGCTCTTTGAACTGGCACGCATTCTTATTTTCTCGCTGGCACAAACTTGTTTGTCTTGCAAACCTGCTTGCATCGACAAGTTGATTGCATGTCCACACGAAATTTCGCCTCTCTCAGCAATCGTCCAACGAACGAACACCCTCACGTGCCGCAGTTTGATCAGATCATCGCGTTCCGGGGATCGTAGATCTTGATCGGAGAGTGGAGACTGAAGTCGTAGATCCTACGCGCCATGCGCCAGTGATGAGTCATCCTGTCACCATGGTCACTAGCTGCTACTCATGGACGCCCATACCCGCGCTGGCGCGCGGTCGCGACTCGCGGGGGCCGGGCGCGATGTACGAGTACTGAATCGACTAGCGGCTAGCCGCGGACAAAAAGCCGCGGACGCGTAACAACTCACGATCACGTCACTATTTTGTTTTTATACTTGCAGTGATGTCATTATCGTCGTGAATTGGGCAGTACCAGGGAGTCGTAAAAGCCCGGGAGAGGACACGGCACACATTCCCAGAAAACATCTTTGCCTCGCGCTGCCGGGGAACGCTGCCAGGGAACGGTGTTGCGAGGCAAGGAAATTATTATTTTCGAAAATTGTGATGTCTTCTTGAAATACTAATTGGGACATTCTCCGATTTCTCTTAGAGCACGGAGACGATTGCTCCGTCGAGTCTTCTGATCTCTATTTTCATCCTCATCTTCCAGCTGCCTCACTCATTCTCTCTCAGTTTATCGAAGTTAATTTATTCTGAGGCGATGGAAATGCAAGACAAATCCCTAATTGTACTTCACTTTTATTTGAGTTGGGGTGAACGAAATGAGATTTGTGGAAAATGACGCCACTTCCCGTGTTAGCCGCTGGTCGTATCATACAGCCCATATTCCATTGCAGGTGATGGGCCAACGTTCGTGTTGAGATCCGCTGAGTTTCCTCGTACTCGTGGAGTTGAATTTGTGGCAGAAATTGCACTGAATTGCAGTCAAATGGTTGTGAATGAAACGAGATTTGTGGAAAATGACGCCACTTCCCGTGTTAGCCGCTGGTCGTAGCATACAGCCCATATTCCATTGCAGGTGATGGGCCAACGTTCGTGTTGAGATCCGCTGAGTTTCCTCGTACTCGTGGAGTTGAATTTGTGGCAGAAATTGCACTGAATTGCAGTCAAATGGTTGTGAATGAAACGAGATTTGTGGAAAATGACGCCACTTCCCGTGTTAGCCGCTGGTCGTAGCATACAGCCCATATTCCATTGCAGGTGATGGGCGAACGTTCGTGTTGAGATCCGCTGAGCTTCCTCGTACTCGTGGAGTTGAATTTGCGGCAGAAATTGCACTGAATTGCAGTCAAATGGTTGTGAATGAAACGAGATTTGTGGAAAATGACGCCACTTCCCGTGTTAACCACTGGTCGTATCATACAGCCCATATTCCATTGCAGGTGATGGGCGAAAGTTCTTGTGGAGATCCGCTGAGCTTCCTCGGCGTACTCGTGGATTTATGAATTTGTGTCAGAAATTGCAGTCGAGTGGACTTCTGTGCGTGTGTTGTGAGTAAATCGCGACGGCTCCCTTCCTTCAGCATCGTCAAAACGCAACATAGAGCATTATTACGCACTCGTTCCATGATTCATGATAATGCCTGGATTCTTTTAAAAACAATCAATGTGTGTTCCCTATCTATCTACATTGTACATGGTTGCAGGTCGTTATTTATAAATCTTGATAATTTCAACACTTTTCTACTCGTATACTGAGTACGCGGTGACTTGAGCCGTTTAGGAAACGGAAGTCTTGGCGAGTGTACAAAAGGTAAACCTATCATTTGTACTTCATAACGGAATTGTGCACAAAAATGCACACACACGTTCGTGCGCACACACACAAGCACACACACAAACACTGTACAAACACACACAAAAGTACAAGCACATATGCACATACACACGCCTCCCCCCCCCCCCCCCCCACACACACACACTCAACTCCCCACCCCTGTACTGAGTCTGACAGACATACAATCATGTTTATCCTTCCTTCGCCACCAGTTTCGGATAATGGTGTCAACAACGAGTTGTAAAATATTGGTATTTTAGGACTCCTGCCCTGAAGACAAGCACAGCGCCGTGGATCGAGCAGATCCGGCCGCGCCGGCCTAGCGTGCTTCACTTTCTGGCCGAGGCAAACGTCGTCCGCGTGCGCGCATCCCGTGTCCTCTCCCGGGCTTTTACGACTCCCTGGGCAGTACAGTGGGCACCCGGGCCGGCCAGCGGCCACCCTGGATCATGGAGTGGATCCATGGACGTCCCTGGCCTAGCCTGGCCTGGATCCATTCGGCATTGCAATGATTGTACATAATAACACGTGTGGACTGGTCTTGATAATAATGTCTCCTGGCTGCATGGACCCGGGCGGCGGGCGCCCGGGCCTAGTCCTGCATGACGTCAAGACTCAACTCTCAAGCTGGTTCATCATCACGATCCATGATCCACGACTTCAGGTCAGGTGTTCCCGGGCTGTATCAACCTTGGTTGAAAAATAGTTCATTTCAATTATTGTTCTTTCCTATGCTTGTCTCCTGGAGAAGAGAGGATCTGGGCATTGTCAGAGCTGATTAGATGGAAGTAACAGAAATAACAGAAATAAAACTTCGTGCCAGCCTTATCTAACTGAACTTGAACTGTTTTGCGGTGGATGTAACACAAAATCTTCATGTCTAGATTTTGAACTGGTTCAAAGTCCATTGATTGCAAAAGAGCAATTGTCCTGGACTAACTGTTTATCATGGCCTGCGTCCAGGAGAAGGACACTGGCCAGTGGCTGACTAAAAAGCTGACAGCCGACTCGACCTGGGATGCGCAATCCATTTCGGCGTTCCTCAATCAGAAACAGCTGGAGAATGTGGTGCAGTGTTTTGAGAAATTGAGCACCATCCTAAAACTGAAGGTGAGGTGCTGTAGTCATGGTAGTAGGGTCCTCGTCTTTTAAATCTAGGTATGGAGTCTTGGGAGTGCGGAAGTACAATTCATACAATTCATAGGTGGATCAGATCACGTAAACACAAGGGAATGCCCTTGTGTTTACGTGATCCACCTATGTTCTTCTGACTCTTTACTTTAGATGTAATGGTCAGTGTCATTACGCCCTTAATCAGCTTAGATTGAAATCCATTTGTTGCAGTTAGGAATTCAACTGTATGGGTGACCACTCCGTGGAATATTTGAATTCAACTGTATGGGTGACCACTCCGTGGAATATTTGGTGACTAACTTCACAATACTCTGCACATGCACTCACTTCGATTCGGGCGAAATTAGTACTCATGCTCGCACACACACACACACACACACACACACACACACACACACACACACACACACACACACACACACACACACACACACACACTTACACACACACACTTACACACACACACTTACACACACACACACATGCGCGCACACACGCACATACATCCATGCGCATGTGTTCGCACACACACACACACGCACATACATCCACGCGTGTGCGCTCGCACACACACACACACACACATGCTGTGAATATGTTCACTAACCTGCTTTCAGTGTGTACGAAATCCCGATCAGTGTTTGGTGTCTGGTATAGATGTACTGTATATCTGCTACGCGCACTCAATTTCCGGAGAGTCATTTTCATTACCGTAGAATCCCGCGGATAAGCCCACCCGCGTAGAAGCCCATGCTTGCGCATAAGCCCAGACCAAGTTCGAACAACGCGAAGCTTCGTTGTACATGCCCATGGGCCAAGGTCGAACCATGTACGTCGTACATGTACTTTCTTTTTCTTTTTTTTTTGTACATTTCAACACAACCATCGGTTGTTTTTTGTTTGCACAGTGATTTTCAGCAATGTACTTCTCACTTCCTTCGTACTTTTCAATAGCACAATTTTAGTGTCAGCGTATAAGTCCGTGTCCGCGTATAAGCCCATGTTCTTGTATATGCCCACCGAAATGCCCTTGTGAAACAGATAAGCCCAGGGGCTTACCAGCGGTATTCTACGGTATACAGGCTATAGTTATTCAAGTTGATTACATACCGTAAGCCGGTGGTAACGCGGATGTACAAATGTTACTTCTTTTGTTCTACAAGCCATTGTGTCAGTTATTGGAGGTTTTCTTGTTTGTGGGCATTTGACATGCCTTAACCTTACGCATAGTATAATGCAGCAGATAAAGCTATGAAAGGCGACTACATGTCGTGAGATTGTAGCCTGTTGCCACTGCTTTGTATGGCGTGTGTGTGTGTGTGTGCGCGTGTGTGTGTGTGTGTGTGTATGTGTGGGAGTGTGCGCATTTGTGCGGTTTGGCTGTGCGCGTTCTGAACTGAATGCAGGTAATGCTGTCTCTGCTGTACGTTCCCGCGCGGAACCTTGTTGAAGGGCAGGCACATGTCGACTCGCTCATTGCGCTGGGCCGAGGCGATGAAGATGCATGGGTGCGCTTGGTGGCTGACATCATGCAGCCATTGTCAGTGCATGGCACACTCAACTGCATCAATCTGTCTAGCACACAACCAGCACACGCAGCCATGATCAAGCAAATCAAGGATGCATGTAAGCTTGCAGGCACCACTTTGATACGTATGAAGGACATGTACTGCCCAAGCATGAGGGGCAATAGTGGCAGATATCGCCGCCGGTATCGCCCGAGCATGCAATTACCAAAGTTCAACTTGATGGCGTACAGCACACATCAATTGCATTCAGTTGTTGCGTTGCGTATGCATGTATTTCGCGTGGGCTTGTATGATGTTCACTGTTCAGTACATGAAGGTTTCGCAGTAAACCAAAAAATGGGTCGCGTGTCATTGTTGCTGCTTGTCGCAAGTGTCAAATGTCGCGCCTCACATTGCAGAAAGTGATATTATTGTGAATGGTGTGCCGTTGTTGCTGCCTGGCACACGTTGCTCATATCGCACATCACACTGCAGAAAAATGATATTGCGAGAATTGTGTGTTGTTGTCGCGGCTTGTGGCAAGTGTCACATGTCGCACATCTAGGGTGAAGCGATCACTAAAAGTTGATAATCGATTACTATTTTGTCAATGATCGAGTTGTGGGTTATACTGACTATTTTTTAAATGTGTTCAAATTCATTGAAGTATTACTATTTTTCTCCCTTTTGTCAGAAAATGATAACGAAGCATATCAGATTGACGAGGCTACAGATACCTGGTCATTTGGAACCACAGTTCTCCATCGTATCATGATTAGAGTCGTGAGTGGCTTGGCCGGCCTGTTTTTCCAACATTTCTGTGGCTGAAAAGCCTTCCCAGTGCAGCCAGTCTGGGTTGCTGCTGTGTGTAGGGCTTGCTAGTACTTCCAAGTACCGCCAAAGCACAGTACTACATGTACTGTGATAGACTGTAAGCCGTAAAATCGACTCTTACGAGCCGCCCATTTCGATTGTGCAAAATCCCCCAGCATGGTGGCATGGGCGGGTACAATCAACGGAGGTTTTAAGTGTTGGTTCTGTTACTCTTTGTCTCTTCTGCACCTGGTGTGGTGTGTTTGTATTACGTACACGCTGTGTATGTGTGCGTGTGTGTGTGTGTTTTCCTCTCCATGCTAGTGAAAGAAACGAAGCATTCAGAGCTCTTTCCGCGTGAAGCATCGTATCTCAATACCACCGCTCTGAGTGCGGTGGCTGGCTCGCGGCAGCCTGTTGCCGATCATTTCGCGTTGCGCCGATCGAGCAAGGCCGGATCGTCTAAGCACGATATTTTGCAGAAAGGTATGCGGTCAATCAGTGTATTGTTTCACACAAACTCGTCCTGGCGTGTGTATGGGTGGTTGGGATACGTGCGTTCCCTTTTCTCTTCAGGCGACTTAGCCTTGTAGTACAATTAAATTATATTATTTTATATTTATTAATTTTTAATTTAACAATTTTGTCTGACTATGATGGTATCAAGAGTGCATAAACAAGAGTATGCAACTGTGGTTATGGGTCAGTGCGCGGCGCGCTGCCTTCATTACGTAACTTGCCTTCATCACGCTCTGAAAGCATGCATTCAAACTCTCAATTTCTCGCACGAGCCCATCCGTTTTTGCTCGATTCGTTCTAGTACCTACACAATCTCTGAATTCTGGCGCGTGAACTCCAGTTCCGTACGAAAGTTCATTTCAAACTGGAGGGAAAGTGCGGTGTTTGATTTTCCGCAGTGCGCGGACTGCAGCTGAATGATGTAATGAAGGCAGCGCGCCGCGCATCTGGCCCATAGAAAAGAGATCACAGTTGCATACTCTTGTTTATGGACTCTTGATGGTATCTAATGGTATGCCGTATTTTGTGAGTAGTGCAGTAAAAACTCTGTTGCCGGACCCTGTGCCCAGCGGAATCCTGTATTAACCGGACACACTTTTATGCACTAAAGTGCTGTGGATCGAACGTGCATCCCTGGATCAAGCAGAATCCTGTCATGTCGGGACAGTTTCTGTTGCACCGAGGGCGTCTAGTTTGGGCAGGTTTTTGCTGTATCGCTTTTTTCTGGTTAGACTCCAATCTGCAAAGATACGTGTGCAGTCAATGGCTATGCGGCAGTATGCGCACACACCGTGGAAGAGGGGAGTGGTGACACTGACTCTACTCCATTGTCCAAGGATTGCTCTAACATGGTTTTGTGCGCTTTCTCCCTTTTCTCCATTTTTACGCATCCATACTATTTTAATTTAGCTCAAGATGTACTGCGGAAGAATGCTAACTCTTCTCATCGGAGAGAGAACCTTGTTGCTCCTCAACTCGGCAAGTTTCGCAATAGTACTGATGCCGTCCCACTGCGAACACCGACCATTCCGATGGCACCATCTGGTGTGTCGCGGTCCACGCCGTCTTCAGGCCGATCACAACTGCCCTCCAACTACACATCGAAGTCAAAACCAGCCCGCACCACACAGGTTAGTACCCTGCGCCCAGCATGGGGTTGTAAGTCCCCGACCTGCCCACTCAAAGCTACATTCTGTTTCTCTACTTCCCAGCCTTTCTTCACGCTGTTCTGTTACCTGGCAAGAACAGGTGGACAATGTATTGTCAGAGCAATCAGAAACTCTCCTGGGATCATGAGTCTGAACTAGACAGCAGTCCGGTATTGATGGTGCATTCATGTACTGTCTTTTAATACAGCTACTGGACATCGCAATGCCTATGAGCAGGAAGCGAGGTCGTGATAAAGGTAGGTTTAATGGAGCATGAGCTCAGTAGTATGCTGACTGCTGCTGACTGCTGCTGCTGACTGCTGCTGCTGACTGCTGCTGCTGACTGCTGACTGCTGCTGCTGACTGCTGCTGCTGCTGCTGACTGCTGCTGCTGCTGCTGCTGACTGCTGTTGCTTGGCTGGAAAGCTAACAGGATTGCAAGGTGATTGTGGCCACCTCCAGGCTCTCATGAAGCACCCGCACTGCACTTGCCTCTTCTTTTTGATCTTGTACTTTACCTTAAAGGGGAAGTTAAGGCTAAACTCAAAGTTTTACCAGTTGTAGTCTTCGGGGTGCTGAGTCGAATGGTCTTGGTCCGAGGAAGCTGAGACGCTCCCTTCCTACTTTAATCCCAATCGAACTCGCGCACTTCCACCGAAACTGGGTGACTGCGCCCTACTAGATGGGGATTTGTATGCAAAATGTCACTAAAAGCGCCATTTCGTTCTTATAAAAGCACGGATGACCGCGATTGGCCCATATGTTGTAGTCTTTTGGCCGCTGAGTCGACTGGTTTCGGTCCGAAAAGGCTGCGATGCAGCGTTTGGCTCTTATTCCCAATTGAACATGCTTGAACAAGCGGTCACGTGCTCCTGCGTACACCAGTCACCTGGTCACCGTGCCTGCAGGGTACAACTTACTAGCCTGTTTGACCTCCTTTTTTGGGTGCAGTCTTGTCACTCGAGTTGAACTCGAGTTGAACCTTGGTGTGAAAGTTGTCGCCTGCTGGCGCTGTGACCAGGTGACTTGGGCACGCAGGAGCACGTGACCGCTTGTTCAACCATGTTCGATTGGGAATAAAGGAGGAACGCTGCATCGCAGCTTTCTCGAACCAAAACCAGTCGACTCAGCATCCAAAAGACTACAACATATGGGCCAATCGCGGTCATCCGTGCTTTTATAAGAACGAAATGGCGCTTTTAGTGAGATAACACCTCACGTTGTGGCTGCTGTTGAAAATATCCTGTGCTGCGCTTTCAGTGCCTGTCGTATGCTGAAGTACTTTTGCCGTGTATTATGTGCCCTGTGTTAATTTTTCTTCTTCTTGCAAAGCAACAGGAAAATATAGGATTTTTTTAGTCTTTGTATGGATGCATGCATGTGACGAAGTCAAATGTTTCCAGTTGTGACAGGAACATTCTGTTTTCAGGACATGTAGGTGGTGAGATGTTATAAATGATGCTGACAAGATATGGCATCATGTTTTTTTGTCATCTGCTCGTGTTATGGCTGGGGTGTTGCAGCGGATACTGAAGCAGATGAGTCCAAGTCTAAGAAAGAAAAACCAGATCCAAGCTTGCCAAAGGCGGGTCGAAGGAAATCGTCGACAAAGGATGCTGGCAAGAAGAAGGACACTGCCGGTGCACCCACAGCTACAACTCCTACCACCCCGTCAGCTGCTCCAACACCGACAGAAGGTGCAGGCGCGCCATCGCTGTCATCTCCTAACGGCCTATCTAGTGTGAATCCCATGCCAGACTACGCTAAAGGTGTGTACATGTAGTGCATGTAGTACAGTCATGTACATGTAGTTCTATGTGGATGCACGGTGGCTGTTGTGGCTGTGCAGTCTGATATGCTTGCTGTATATACCACTATGCAATTCGTGTTTTTTTTGTTTGGGTTGGAGGTGTGTGTGTGTGTGTGTGTGTGTGTGTGTGTGTGTGTGTGTGTGTGTGTGTGTGTGTGTGTGTGTGTGTGTGTGTGTGTGTGTGTGTGTGTGTGTGTGTGTGTGTGTGTGTGTGTGTGTGTGTGTGTGTGTGTGTGTGTGTGTGTGTGTGTGTGTGTGTGTGTGTGTGTGTGTGTGTGTGTGTGTGTGTGTGTGTGTGTGTGTGTGTGTGTGTGTGTGTGTGTGTGTGCGTGCGTGCGTGCGTGCATGTATAGGTGGGGTAATTTCCAAGTCCATCCAGAGTCTGGGGATTTCAGGGGGTTGTCAGCTGTTGGTTTGTCTTGTGCACTGCTCACAAACATGTTCCTAATAATCGATCGGTCGGATAAGTTAATACTGCACTAGCGAAGATGTGTTTATCCACTTCTAGAACATAGTTTGGTGCCCTGTCTCAGGTCATGGTTTGAGAATACCGGTATACAACTTCCTTGCTCCCGGTTGGAGCAAGAAATCCTATTGTGGTTTGGCTTGGCATAGTCTAGATGCTATCTGTATGAAACTTGTAGTGGAAGCTGAAGTTGTTTTATTGCTTATTAGTTTTTGGAAAGGCCAGCATTGATGGTTTAGTGTCCTCTCATCTTGTAAGGAATGTAGTTATATTTACCCAGTGTTGTGTGTGTGTGTGTGTGTGTGTGTGTGTGTGCTGTGCTGTGCTGTGCTGTGCATACATGGTCGTGTATATTAGGTCTGACGCAAGCCAGTGATGCGGTATCGTCTGAACCACCGCTGACTTCACCTCCCCCGGGTTCCGCCACTCCACCTATTACTCAGCTGAACGTTGATGTAACTTCACCAGTGAAGATCTCAATGGCGCCATCATACCGGCCTTCTCTCGGCCAGGACAACGATGCTGAAGAGGAAGAAGAACATGAGGAAGGGGAGGCAGAAGAGGTTTTCCACACTAACAATGTCAAGAAGCAGCCTAGTTCCACCGCCCCACTGCATGCTTCTCCTGCAGCTGCGGCGAACCTGACGAAAACACCACGGAAATCGTTGGGTAAGCTTGCAGGGATGAGTTTGGCTTCTTACATGGATTCCAGAGCGAGCGTGCAGGCATAGTCATGCGCGTACGTGTGTGTGTGTGTGTGTGTGTGTGTGTGTGTGTGTGTGCCATTGCCCTTTCTTGTCAGAATTCACTGGCCGATGTGTGTTACCGGCTGTTCAATCTTCTCGTGCAGGCTTGTGGTGCTGCTTGGGCATTGGCCTGGTAGCCCAGATTGGCAGAAGATTCACTTACTCTGTGTGCAAACTTGATTTCCATGAGCATGGATGGGCTATCTTAGTCTTGGCTGCAGACTAATGATACTCTAGCAAACTGAATGGCTTCACAGTTGCTTGCATGATCAGATATCGGCCGGTCTGCTGGCCCACACATATACAAATCAGAGGCAACGAGGACCCTGGCTAGCACCATACACTACTACGTAACGTCTTTTGCATAGCTTCGGGAATAGATTATGTTTCCAGTCTGCTGACATGCTGTCGAAATCAGATGTCTCCCTTCCCAGCGGCAACCAGTCACGTCGTGTAAACCGGCCCTTGCGGAACCTAGTTTGTCGACCTATGCATGCCAAGTTCAGGACTGGAGTGAAACAAAGTCCAACTGATCATGCACTCTCACTCTGTACTGGTCTATGCTGTGAGACGAAGTCAAAACAACTCAACCCAGATCACTGAGCAAGCAGCTAACCAAACTTTCTCTTGCATCACTCCGAAAACACGGCCGAAATACTGGCCTGGCGGCTGCCAGACCTACCCGGACCGCAGCGAATGGTTCTGTCATACTATATGTATGACTCTACATTGAAACCCCCTAGGCTTTAACCCTTTACCTTCTGTGTGTACATGAATCGACCGAATTTGGTCGATGGACATGCATGCACTAAAACTTGCGTAACTCAATCAATTCCTGACGGAATCTCAAAAACTAAATATGCAGGAAGAAGCCAAAGAGCCTAGCTTTGAATTGCAACAATCGGCAAAGAGCTGCGATGCCGCAATTCAAAGATATCGCGCTCGACATTTCAGCCACGGCAAAAGTCGATTTTTTTCTGAGTGACTGGCCTTGAGCTGGGGATTTCCCCTCTCCTGACATGCTGAGTCACCTGGGCATGTTTTGAGCGCGTGGGCAGCATAAAAAGAAACTCAAGCAAACAAATTTGAAATGTTTACGATGAAGAAGTGAGAAATGGCTGATGAGGAGAGGATTTTCTCGGATACCCAGCGGTGGGGAGTATTTGAAGCACCCTGGCGTTGGATATGTGATCTCAGTAGTGTCCAGTTTGAGCTCATTGTACGCAGCTCGTGGAGAGCTTTCCAGAATGCCCAAGATTGTGAAAATTGGTTGATTAGAACCAAAGATATTCTCAAAATGAGGTGAGAAATATCGCATTTGGAACTGCCTGGGAATTTTGGTCAGAAGGTAAAGGGTTAAGGGGTACACTTGTGCTGTGGCGTACGCAACATAGCGATGCTGTGTGAACTCCTTTCACGTAACACTGTAGCGCTGTGTGAACTCCTTTCACGTAACACTGTATAGCTGTGTGAACTCCTTTCACGTAACGCTCAGGCTGTAGCGCTGTGTGAAATCTGCTTTGTGATGTTTGCTATTCACTCCTGGCACGTTGTGTGTGTGTGTGTGTGTGTGTGTGTGTGTGTGTGTGTGTATAAGTGTAAGTGTAAGTGTAAGTGTGTGTAAGTGTGTGTGTGTGTACTGTGTGTGTATGTGTGTGTATGTGTATGTGTACGGTGTGTGTGTGTGTGTGTGTACTGTGTACTGTGTACTGTGTGTGTGTATTGTGATAGGTTCATCGCGCACTGTACCGTTTAGCCGCACGCCGGCAACGCCGCCAGTGGCCAAGAAGTCCGAGAGCTTGGCATCGCTTCGATCCCCTGCCAAGACTCCGTCGTCAACCGTGCCTGCTGCCATCACGGCAACAACGGCTCAACTGTCGTCTCCCGTTGTGCCAGTTTTGCCTCCTCTGTCAAGTACAGCGGATGCAGCTACGCTAGCAAATCTATCCCAAGCGACACGCCTTCCTCAGGTATGTGTGCATGGCAGCCATGTAGCTGCCCCTTTTGTCTGACTTGTAATCGTTGTTTGTGTCGTGAAGCGAAGAATGAAACACGGCCCTGCAGTAACACTACCCGATAGGATTGCCGTGCTACCTGGATGGAATTACCCGAGCCTGATAACCGAAGATAACGCTATCCACTACGTCCCAATTTGATAGCTCCGCTGCAAACCCTGCAGCACTCAGATTATGTAAATGCTATGCGGCTAGCAGTAGAGTGGTCAGAGACTAGATGCATGCCTTTGTTGTTTGCTCTTGAGACACGTCTTGGTATGATTGTACTTTGAATACAGTGAAACCTGTCGAAGGCGACCACTCAAGGGAAGAGAAAAAATGGTCGCCTTGGCCAGATGGTCTTCTTATCCAGGTTCAGTGGGTCACGTGACCATATCCACTTCATAATGCATGTGATATTATCATTTTGATCAGTGCATCACACTGCGCACACCTATGCTACTCTAGCAGGACCCGTGTGCCTGGGGTCCTGAGACCTGTCAAGTGCCGTGCACGCATCGTGTACCATTGTATATCTACACTTCCTTCGCTGATGTGTACATCTACCATGCATGGTGCACCATGCAATGCGTACATTTACACATACTATCAAGGGCGCAACGCGGTCGCGTTGAGCGAGTGGTCGCCTTATCCGAGCTGTTTTGAATGTGAATGCGCCCGTGACAAGGAATATTGGTCGCCATGGTCGAGTGGTCGCCATTACAGGTTTTACTGTATGTGTGTTTGTGTATGGTATGCTTGTATGTTTGTGTATGGTATGCTTGTATGTTTGTGTATGGTATGCTTGTATGTTTGTGTATGGTATGCTTGTATGTTTGTGTATGGTATGCTTGTATGTTTGTGTATGGTATGCTTGTATGTTTGTGTATGGTATGCTTGTATGTTTGTGTATGGTATGCTTGTATGATCGTGTATGGTATGCTTGTATGTTTGTGTATGGTATGCTTGTATGTTTGTGTATGGTATGCTTGTATGTTTGTGTATGGTATGCTTGTATGTTTGTGTATGGTATGCTTGTATGTTTGTGTATGGTATGCTTGTATGTTTGTGTATGGTATGCTTGTATGTTTGTGTATGGCGCCTGGTTTGTACCTAATGTGCATGCATGTGTGGCCTCTTCCCCTTGCAGACGGATATTCTCCGTGCAATCCAAGATCAGAAAGACCGGCACGATCAATCTCCTATGGCGTCCAGTTTTATTACACAGGCCCTGCTGAAAAAGTCGCAGAAATCGCCTCAAAAGGATAACTCAGCAGCTACAGCAACTGTTTCGCATCTCCAACAGCTTCGACAACAGCAACAACTGCAATCACAGCTAGAGAAACAACAGCTCGAACAAAAGCCACAGCAGCAGCAGACACCACCACAGCAGCAGACACCGCCGCCTTTGCGGCAGACACCGAAGCAGCAGCCACAACAGCAGCAGCAGCAACTACAACAACAACAACACCAACAACAACAACAACTGCAGCAGCAACATCAACAACAACAACAGCAGCAGCAGCAGACTCAACAGCAGCAGAAACAGCAGCAGGCTCTGATAGCACAGCGACAGTATCTACAAGCTATTCAACGCCAGGCGCATCTGTCCAGACAGGATCAGCAGTTACCTGCTGCTAATGCTCCTACCACCGCAGCAGCAGCCACTGCTGTGCCTGGAAAACTTCTTATCCCAGGAAGCGCCACAGCGTCTGCCCCGAATGTTAGTGTAGAGCTACTCCGGCAGCATAATCAACTTCTGCAGCACCTTCAAAGTGTTGGTACACCACAGCAGGTTGCGGCGTTAACTGCTGCCATCGTGAAGCACCAGCACCAGCAGCGACAACAGCAGCAACAGCAACCGCAACAACAACTCCAGCAACCGCAAAGCCAACCGGCTTTGGCATCCCCTACGCCCTCTAGTGCTCCTGCACCTGCTGCTCAAGCTGTTGCAGTAACTACCAAGCAAAGCCAAGCCAAGAAGTCTTTGACACTGACGGTATGCTTGTCCTTCACATACATACATACATACATACATACATACATACATACATACATACATACATACATACATACATACACACAGACACACATACACACATACATACATCTTGATCTTGATTCTGCTGCCAAGTCTGGGTACGCAGTCCCCGAAGGGACAGGTCAAATGGTACTAGTCACCCTGCTGCATCGGTGGCGTGTCCGGCCGCTAGTCGAGCGGAAGGTCCGGTGACAGGCGGAGCACTCCAGGGGTGGTGCCGCTGTAGTTTGGATGTCAGTCAGTTTGCACTTGTGTCGAGTCCTTCCACTGATGGACGTGAACATACATACATACATACATACATTTTTTTTCTTTTTTCGGGGTCACGGCCTCTTTTACGGGCAAGATAAAGTCATGTAGATGTGAAAAAAATAGATACCATGAAAAGTAAAATAGAATTTTATTCAAGTACAATACATTGGAAAACTCCAAGAAATTCCACGTAAAACAGACGAAATTCAGTTCTCAATGGCCGATGCCTACCCCAGCACCATCCTGCGTCGACAGGCCTGTCAGGCACCTTCTGGACCCGCGTAGCCGGAGGTCGACTGCATGGAAAACTGCAAATTGGTTATGAATTCGCACCCAAGCCATGATGATTGAAAATGGCTTGTCCCACTTGAGGGCGAGGTGACCAGCAAGTCGCTTCTGATAGCTGGCGTATTCGCGATGTAGCACCCCATCTGTGGAACAAACCAGTGATGTGAACGACCCACGGAGGTCCTCGGAGGCCTGACGGCACTTCTTTTTCTTCGCGTTGCCAGCGCGGTTGGAAGCAGCTTCCCAGGATGAATGGGAGTAACTGGGTGTGTTGGCATCAATGATGCGATTATCAAAAAAAATGCCACCCCGTTATCCTCCCACACACCCCGGGCAAGCCAATCTGCCCGAAGAGCAGGCTGCCCCGTCCGATCACCCTCCGGCACCATGATCGGCTCGACGACAACACCACCGAATGCCATATCAGCTAGCTTTGCATCGCTATCACGCAGATTATTGTGGCCTCGCTTGATAAGTCCACCTTTCGGGCAGTCAAGGCCATGCTGAAGAGAGAAGGGCTTCCCGCCACCATCACATTGCGCTGGCAGGGCAAGCGGCTGCCGACCATAGCGGATGTCAAGTTGATCTCGGAATTCTGTACTCGACAGATCATACCCCTCGTGCTTCAGGGGCAACACCGTAAGCCATCCGGAGGCATTTCCCCCGTACGATGTGGGAGAGGGTGCGCTCCTCAAGCTGTGGCAGGTCACTGAGAATCGATTGGCTGATTTCAGCGGAAATCACATCCCGTTCCCTGCTGATTTGGCTTGCGATGCAACGACAGTGAGCGCTGTGATCATTTATGTTTACGGGGTTACCAGATTGGATGGAGTTGCGCAGGATGTCAGTTGCGTTTCTCGAGTTCTGGTAAGCCTGGGGTGCTGTGTGGACAGGGTCGGCCAAAGCCAAGCCACCATACCTGACTGGCAGGGTGAGGAGCTTGTGATACATACATACATACATACATACATGCATACATACATACATACATACATACATACACTTGAGAGGGACGAAAAGCGTTTGGGGTGCTGTGTGGACAGGGTCGGCCAAAGCCAAGCCACCATACCTGACTGGCAGGGTGAGGAGCTTGTGATACATACATACATACATACATACATGCATACATACATACATACATACATACATACTCAAGTCTGTGGACAGCAACTGTTTCGTTCTGTTCGGCTGCAACCACACTAAGTACAAAATCACGTACAAACGGCATTACAGTCGTTTTCGCGCTCCTTCTCCTGTGTACAACTTTGTTTTTGTACCTGGTCATCGTACATAGCATCAGCATCAGCATTGTTTTTGAATTTCTCGGTGTTTTCCAGCGCATGGCACACGCTTTGGTACGACAACGTCACGTGCTGGTCGCGCGAAAACGTCATCTATGCAGACCGAAAAGTGTAGTGTGGTTGCGTACCGACTTGTACTGAGATATGCATGAAAATTTGTACTGTGATTTTTACTTAATGTGGTTTCGGCCTTAGGCTGCAACCACACTAGGTACAAAATCACGTACAAACGGCATTACAGTAGAAAACGTCATGGCGACGTGTGCTAAATGCAAAATGCGCTTTGTAGGTTTTCAGCAACTGGCGCACCCCTGTAGAAAGCCACGTTTGTCGTTTTCGTCGTTTTCGCGCTCCATCTCCTGTGTACAACTTTGTTTTTGTACCTGGTCGTCGTACATAGCGCACCCTGTAGAAAGCCACGTTTGTCGTTTTCGTCGTTTTCGCGCTCCATCTCCTGTGTACAACTTTGTTTTTGTACCTGGTCGTCGTACATAGCATCAGCATCAGCATTGTTTTTGAATTTCCCGGTCTTTTCCAGCGCATGGCACACGCTTTGGTACGACAACGTCACGTGCTGGTCGCGCGAAAACGTCATCTATGCAGACCGAAAAGTGTAGTGTGGTTGCGTACCGACTTGTACTGAGATATGCAAGAAATTGTGTACTGTGATTTTTACGTAGTGTGGTTACGGCCTTACATACATACATACATACATGCATGCATACATACTTACATACATACATACATACATACAGTCAACTTCGCTAATAACGACTGCGGATATAACGACAATTCGCGAATAACGACAGAATTTCCATGCCCAGAGCAAAGTCCCATCCCACTGTAATACATATAATGAGACTTCGGGTATAACGACACTTCGCGAATAAGGACACCTTGTTGATGCCCCGCCGAGTGTCGTTGTAAGCGAAGTTGACTGTACATACATACATACTGCGAAGTACATAAATTCATACTGTATTTCCCCGATTATAAGTCACACTTGGTTATAAGTCGCAACCCATTCTCAGATCTGAGCCAAAACTGGTCACGTGGGTCTCCCCGGGGGGGGGGGGGGGGAGAGAGAGAGAGAGAGAGAGAGAGAGAGAGAGAGAGAGAGAGAGAGAGAGAGAGAGAGGGAGAGAGAGAGAGATTCAAAAGAAATCTTGGAAAGATGACTCAATTGGCTATGGAACCGCCCAATGGCAGTCACCCCCTGAAACTCTGGGTGGACTTGGAAATGAACAATGCTTTCAATCTGCTTGATGCAGCAAGCACTACTTGCAATTTACGCTCTACACATTGTGCATGTTGGTGAGTGGTAAACAAGAGAAAATAACCCCCAAGAGTGTGCAAGTTCAGCTATGGAGTCTGCGATGACAGAACTTCACATCACGTGACGAACGCGTACACATTATTTGCACCCTGTGCATGATAGATACATGGTTGCGCGCAACGTGGCTCAACTCTCTTGTGGTCACTTTGCACTGTTTGACAGAGTACTAGTAACCTATTGAATCATGTCCAGTGATGCGAAGTTCTACCGTCGTCGTAACACTGAATAGAGGTTGTGCAGGCAGCTGCACACTCTTGGGGGGTTTGTACTCTTGGTTTAAGCTATTGATGTTTGTGAACCTTTGATTTAATTTGTTTAGACGGATCAAGCACGACAAGCCCGTGAGATGTTCAATAGTGCTAATCGAGTCACCCCGGTAGAGAAACAACACATCCTGGAGTTCATGGCTGGCAGTCGAGGTAAGACGTCTGGTATCCTTTTCTGAATGGGTTTACTTACTGCAGGAACTTTGTGTATGGTGTGTGTGTGTGTGTGTGTGTGTGTGTGTGTGTGTGTGTGTGTGTGTGTGTGTGTGTGTGTGTGTGTGTGTGTGTGTGTGTGTGCGTGTGTGTGGGGGGGGGGGGGTGCACTTTGTCAGTACATGTAATACTGTAGCTAGAGTCCATGACCAATACATGCAGTATGCAACTGTATCCTCATGGGCCAGTGCGCGACACGCTGCCTACATAACTTGTCTGTGTCATGCCCTAGGCGCTTGCACCCAAACTTTTGATCTCTTATGCCAGCAGATGTGGGTGTGTTTGATTCGTCCGAGTCCTGACACAATACCTAAAAATTAATGCTGTTGGCATGTACTTCAGGTCCGTTTGATGCTTTGTTGCGAAGTACAGGGAACAGCTGGTTTTTGTCTTCCATACTCTGATGTAGCTGCATGGACATGTACATGGTGCAATGAAGGCAGCGTGCCACTGAGCTGTACGCCTATAAGTTAGAAGACAGAGAGAGAGACAGACAGAGACAGACAGAGACAGGCAGGCAGGCAGGCAGACAGACAGAGACAGACAGACAGACAGACAGACAGACAGACAGACAGACAGACAGACAGACAGACAGACAGAGACAGACAGACAAACAGACAGACAAACAGACAGAGAGATACAGACAGAGACAGAGAGATGAGTTTTGCTTTTGCTTTTTTGTTAGCTGTTGCACCAGTGATGCCATGCTCCGTGATTGCCAATAAAAGAGGTCTTCGACTCGGAGTACATAAGGCGGAGTGTGCTATTCCTCATATCCACATAATATGTGGATATGAGGAATAGCACACTCCGCCTTATGTACTCCGAGTCGAAAACCTCTTTTATTGGCAATCCCCCATGGGAATGCGTTCACAACAACGCTGTTTTTCATTTACATCATTTCGACCTCCAGGATACGATAAAAGCTGATGTCCCAGGTTGTATTGATGCCGCGTGGCACTGTAGTCGCAGATTACAGCTCCCGTGATTCATCAAAAATGACGCAAGCGACGAATTCCGTTCTCCCAAACCAATACTGAGTTACACACTCTGGTTTATGTACTGTTGTCCACGCTCTTTGACTTGAACGCAGACTTGAGGATAAAGCCTTTCAATACGGACACGATACCTACACTCTCCAAATACGAGGAGGCTGCCTATCATACATCATCATAGAAAACATAATCCCGAATCCAGCCTAGTCCACGATCACACCATGCAAGGGGTGAGAATGACAGGGCATTCTTGGGGAGATTCTACGCTGCTTTGAGAGCATGTACATACCGTATTATCTCCATTATAAGCCCAGCGCTTATATTTTTCAACCAGTCCGGACCCTGGGCTTATATTGGAGACTGGGCTTCTACTAGAGACTGGGCTTATAATGTTTCAACCACCTGGTACATGTACATTGCCTATTATTTTTCATTATATCAGTAGCAGAAAGTTTCCCAATCCCAGCAGGTACCGGGACTGCAGTTTTGTGCTTCCTGGTACACAGAGTCGGTACTTTAGATCTCGGGGATCACAGACTTTTACCACAGCATGTGTTTATGTTTATGTTTATGTTTTTGTACGCGAACCCCGTCGAATTTATTTATTTATTTATGTGTTTATGTGATGCTGTGTGACGTCAAACATGCATGAACATGATCCATACGGTTCTCCATTATAAGCCCTGCGCTTATATTGGAGACTGTGCTTGTATATCTTCGAAGCCCTCTTGGAGTGCGCTTATAATAGAGACTGGGCTTCTACAAGAGACTGCGCTTGTAATAGAGATAATACGGTATGTGTTGGATATGACCATTGACTACCGAATCATGTGCCAAGAGCAATTTGTGGACTTGTAATCCTGTTAAAGACAGCTTTTTGCTCTGTTGTTTTGCCTTCTCTTCTGTGTGCGTCTGGATAGAAAACCCCTACCCAGCGCGTGGTGATAAACAACTTATTGTGCTCAGCCAGGCGGATCAAGTTGAGGTCATTGACGGCCAGAAGACGCTCCTTTCCGTGGAGATTGTCTTTGAGCTGAACTACTCGACTGGTCAATGGAGACGATTGCAACGCAAGAAAGTTGTTCCGCATGGAATGACAGCAGCATCGGCGGCAGCGGCGGTGGCAACAACAGCAGGTGTGCTCTCTTCTGCACAGGCTCCTCCTGCCAAAAAGTGAAGAGACTGCCACAGCTTGGGTCCTACTTCGCATCTTAACGACCCATCATTGAAACTTCTGCGCAGTATTCTGCCATGGAATTATTGAGACTTGGGAAGCTCCCTGCTGCGGCCTTCATTCATCCTAGGTGGACTTGTTATAGAACACCGCCATTGTGTTTGCTATGGCCCACATGTCCCAGGTAGGATTTTACTTCCTTCTCTGTTGTTGTTGTTGTTGTTGTTGTTGTTGTTGTTGTTGTTGTTGTTGTTGTTGTTGTTGTTGTTGTTGTTGTTGTTGTTGTTGTTGTTGTTGTTGTTGTTGTTGTTGTTGTTGTTGTTGTTTTTTACTGCCTGGCATCTTACTAACCTTACTACATGTTTCTTACCCCCCCCCCTGCTTTTAATGTTTTTATCCGTCCTGGGTTTTTCGACACTTTTCGTTCATCGTCCTTAGTCAATGTGTTGTGCCAATGTGCTCCCCGGCCTCGCTCTGTGTCTTATCACTACTATACTACTACTGTAGTACTTTATCTTTCCATAGAAGTTGACGTTGTGTCTGCACTGCGTGTGCCGGTGCTTGGACACCCTTTCTTTGCTGAAGCAACTCAGTTATTGAGTGAAGTTGCTGTTGCTGCTCTACTACACTGCTGTTAGTGTCCATGGATGTTAGTGTCCATGGATGTTAGTTTGCCTTCGGGTCAAGTGGCCGGCCACTATTAACTATTGCTGAAATTGCGGTATTGCTGGCAGTTCGATAGTGAAACTGCAAAGTTTCTTTGAGTCCTTTTTGTCTGGCTGTTGATTTCCATCTCATAGTCTAGTATGCTATTTTTTATTCTGCCCGCCAACCTGATTATAACACCTTTTTTTAACCATCCCTGTTCGTATGTATGACTACTAGTCTAGTACAGTGTACTTGCCTTGCACACTTTACTTTTGTGAGTGACTGTGGCACTGCTTGTTCACTAGTGCCCGTGTGTGTGGTGGTGGTGGTGGGGGGGGGGGGGGGTAGGGCGTTGATGTGTGTGTGCTGGGGGGGGGGGGGGGGGGGTGCGTTGGTGTGGGTGGGCGTTCTTGTGCTTGCGCACAAAGGACATCTATAAGGAAGGTACAGTAATTGCGAAGAAGCTGACCATTTCCACTCACCCGTGTGGTACAGTGAATTGTACGGCAAAAATAGTAGCTATGCGGTCTACATTGTATGCATCGTGCGTGTGCACCAGGGGCCAGGGGGCCGTGTTTTTATGGTTGCAACTTGCAAGCCAGAGAAGCATGTGGTATGTGTCATGTACGCACAGGCCCGAATGGGTGATATTTTGTCATCAGTATTGATTTTTACAATCATAGCTGTCATCGTGGGTGTTGTAATGTATAATGATGGTGTATGCTATGATCATGAATTATGCGAAAAATTAAAGGAAAATAGGCGCTGTGTACGTACAATGCAAACAAGTGATTGTACTCGTACTACAAAAATCAAGTGACCATATATTTATAATATCAAGAGTACATAAAAAAAAATAAAAAAATAACATACCCCCTTCTTAATTCTTTGTACCCATGGCCCGGCCGGGTGACACCAAGATCAAAAGTACATACCCCCCCCCCCCCCCTTCGGTCATTATACTCTTTTATAGTAGGCACTTCAGTCACGTGACAGAACCTGTCAAAATTTGCTGAGGTGAGAGTGCGTACTTGCGTGGCACCAGTCAAGTGCATGCGCTAAACTGTACAGGTACGCGCTATGCTTCGTTGTACGGGCTGATAGTTGGGCGCATCGTGTTGCTCTGACGTTCAGCTTTCAGTAGATCCCGCATACGTCATAGTGCGTACATTTTTGCGAGTTGTAGATCACGTACACTACCAGCAAAGAGTTTTTTCACAAAGAACTGTTGTTTGCTCGCGTTTGAAACGTTGCTTATCGTCTTCAGCGTCGTCTTTCCATTCGGAAACAGTAGAGTTCTTGTTTACCAGGGTTTGCGCATCGCTGCGCAAGGAGACATTATGTACGTAGGCACTGAAAAGTATGCGCTTTAGGCGGAGGAGAACGACGATGCGTCGTCCTACCTGGGCGAATCCTCAAAGCGTACTGAAAGCCAAGTTTTGACACGGTTGCGCTGGAAGGCCTACTGATGTTTACGAACAATCAAAAGGCACAGTGGCTGCTGGAGAAACCCTCTGATGAGGGGATGCTTTGATATACGCAGCCAGGCACGCTTCACCAAAATTTCAAAGCTCACCAGCAGGCAATTCATGACTGCTGCATGGAGCAGTTGAAGGATAGGGAGGCAGATATCACACCATGGAAAGAAGCTACCAACAGAGGTCCTGAAGAACTTCTTGCCAACTTGGAATCACTTGAAGTGGCATGACTGTGAGCACGAATGTCCTGTGCAGTAATTCGCGCGCGCGCGTACATACCCTCCACGTTGCGGTGTCCGGCGTACAACGAGGAAGTTCTCTGTTGTTTTTGTGCCAGAAGAATGTCTTTATAACTCTTACACTTTTGTACCCGCTGGAGCCTGCCAGTATGTCGTTATCAGTTCATTTCACAGCAAACTGAAGTTGTTACTATGGGTTACTATGGCGTTGCTATGGGTTGCTATGGAGTTGCTATAGTGATTGCGGTCACAATTGCCGTATTCTTGCCTATTCTGAACTTTGATCTGTATTGTTTCGATCCATACAGGGTTGTCGGTGTAAGTGAGTGATGTGTGCTTGAAAAAAACACTCTGATGTTTTGTGACTATATCCACTGATGATACTTCGGAGATGCTGTTGGTGCCACAAATTGTATTGATCTCGCCTCATCCAACTGCCTATCTTCAACCCTTCATCATGTTCATATCTGAGTGGTATCACTGTGGATTTCAATAAAATTTTCTGTGTGACCTTGTGATACCCACTGCACCATCGATTGCCGATGATAAACCTGGAAAAAACGCGATTTCAAAAAATGGGGTGAAGTGCCTATTTATAGTCTTCGTGACACTGACGACTGATGACAGTAATGTGACGTGACCAGTGACATATTCTAGTAGTACTATATACATGGTAGTAGTGACTACAATTATTGTACACGAATTATTGTACTACTCCCTGGTTCTACTTCTACGAGTACTGTACTTCTCGTTCTCGACTCATCTCTCATCAATCATTCATGATCAAGCTTCAACAAGCCTTCATCCTCGGGCCTCAACACTGACATGTCACATGTGCATGGGTCTTCTTCAGTTTTCCCTACTAAAGACTAGTAAAGTAAAGCTTATAATTACTTGACCTGACCAAAGGAGTTGCTTTTTTGGGAGGTTTACGACCTTTCGCACCTTTTTGTTTCATACACAAACAATCTCGAGCTTCTGCGCGAGCGGGCTGCGGTACCTTGTACTTGTACTGTTGTAGCTTGCGAGAACGAAGGTCTGCATGCACTGTACATGACCTGTACTCTGTTGTGGTACGTCACAAAGCCGCTTCCGAAATAATTCATGTACATTTGTACTGTAGTTGGGAATTGAGTAGCAACAGAGATAATTGTTTCCTTCCGCTAGTTCTGTGGGGTGAAGGCGTACCCCTAAGCGCTTGCCCCGACTGGCCCGAGCGCAAATCGTTTCTAGGATGGCGTCCTATGACAATCCATCTAGTGGTGCCTATTATGGAGATTTAGAAGTGGAAGTGAAGGCTGGCAATGGCAATGATTCCTACTTCAAGGTGGGTATTTTGTGCATACACATTATGTGTCTCTGCCTATTCTTATTTCTTCGTGTTTGTGCATGTTCTTGGGTTTGTTGACAGGCATTTATTGTTGACATCTTCGAGAATGAGGTCGTTGTGGCGTATGAGGATGAGTACGTTAAAAGTTTGTGTCCAATTGGCTTTAGAATTATTTACCATAGTTTAAGAATTCGTTCTGAAATAACAGTTACTATTACTTCTTTCATTGTGGCCGTGATAAGTGTGCACAACTTCAGTATAAAACACAGCGGCAATATGTACAATATATTGAGATTCAAACTTCAGAAAAATATGTTATTTATATTATTATTTTATTAGTGCAATAAAGAGTATAATAGATGCAGACATGGCCAGACAACAACGAGTTCATGGAATTTTAAAGGATTTTTATGTTATTCAAAATCGATTTTCGTGTTCCGCTCATCAGTGAATAGTATCGGAACTGAGGGTACTGTGTACAAAAAAGAACTCAGTTCCGATACTATTCACTGATGAGCGGAACACAAAAATCGATTTTGAATAACATAAAAATCCTTTAAAATTCCATGAACTCGTTGTTTTCTGGCCATGTCTGCATCTATTATACTCTTTATTGCATTAGGGGCCGTCCAAGGTTACCAATAATATTTTCAAAACGAAATGTTTTCGTTTGTGGGTGGGTGGGTTTGATGGAGTTTCGTTTTGAAAATAATTATTGAATGCTGATGGAGAATGCCCAGTTACTTCTGGGTGTCGAAAATTGACATCAATATTTTATTGGAATTCGTTTTACCTGCAGTAAAGGTGGGTGGGTGGGTGGGGGCTGAAAAAGACTAAAACCTTTCGTTTTGTAAAAACGATCGGTAACCCCGGACGGCCCCTTAATAAAATTGCTTTCTCCACGCCGACTCTTTATATTATTATTATTATTATTATGACGGATAACCCAAAGGCAATGGTACCTAAATCAGGGGGTGTCTCCGGACCAAACACAGAGCAAGGAGCTCAGCCAGCAGAAAATGTCAGAAAACAAACAAACAAAAATATGAAGCCTCGGATGTCAAAGAATTACGTGCAGGGGTGTGCCGGACAACAGCAGCACATGCACACGCGATGGGAAAAAGAAAGAAAAAACAGTTTAAAATCCAGGGATCCCAGCAATGTCGTAACAGTACTGAGAGAAATGACGCTTTAAGTCTCTTTTGAATGTATGAGCATGTGCAATCTCACGCATGTGGACAAGTTACCTTACGTGTTTTTGATCTACTGTAAGGCATGTTATTATAACGAGTCGCAAATTTTAACGATTGTCCAAAATCCATAGGTTAACGAGAACATACGATAACGATCTTGCGGCTTCAGGCATATCCACACACAACATATCAGGCATTACAGCCTCGACAAAACGTATTACAGGTGGAATCCTGATAATTCGAATATGGCTTTATACGAACATGCCGCTTAATTAGAAGTTCTTCCAGGACCGATTTCTGTCAATACGATTCCCACATAAAAAATTCTGATAATTCGAACATCAAACCGGACATGTCCGGTTAATTAGAAGTCCCACGGATTTCACTTACATAGAAAATGTGTGGGATTTGTGCTGATAATTCGAAGTTAGTACAGTGTAATTCGAAGTTCACTGTACACTGTGCTGGTCAGTTCAGTTTGCATGAGCAGGCTGTGCTGGTCAGTTCAGTATCTCGTGAAATCTGTGTCTAAGGTCCACAGCGCAACTCTGCGTGACCATGAGAGCACTTTGACATACTTGTACCAGGGATGAATTTACTGTCATATTTTTGCATAGCAGTTTCTGCTATACGAAATCACAATTGTGTAGCAGTCTTTGATTTTGATTAGCATTTTTCTTTGAATTTTGCAGTGTTTACCACATTGTCCTTGTTGAGAGTGATGCCTGAAAGCCCCTTTGCAAAAAACCCGACTGAAGCATACAAGTTCACGCAGATTGAGAGTACCTGCACCACCTACACTGCGCTGTATGCATGTTGCTTGACAGTGCAGGCTAGGCATGGATAGTCTGTATGTAGCGCAATTTTCTGCTAGTCACGGTGACTTTTGAGTAGCAGTAGATCGATTTTGCATCGCAAACTGCGATGTGATACAGGATAAATTCATCCCTGCATACATATTGTGTCGTGGGTTCATGTTTGGATAATTAGAATGTCCGGGTAATTAGACGTTTTTCCTGGCATTTTGAGGTTCGAATTATCAGGATTCCACCTGTATAACGAAGAAATGTCAGCCGTTAAAACGTTAGATATGTTTCCTCGTTAGATTTACATGTCTTACAGTATTGAAGTGTCTCTTGTTCCAAATGACCCCTCCGACGGCCGAAGAGGTTTTAAAAGCACACACCAGGACGTATTAGGTTTTTGGCACACCGGTAACATGGTGCGGTTCTTGGATTAATCTTGAACCGAACACGCCCAAGGAAAAGCACAAGGGAAGTTCCATTTATACCTGAAAATATGCAAAAGATGCTGCATAATGGTGTTAGGAATGCCAGGGTCCACAGTGCTTTATGTCATATCTGTGTGTGTGCACATGTGTGTGATGCGCAGATTTGCGTGCTTCTCTTGCGACGGGCATACATGGTGTGCGTGTGTGTGGGGGGGGGGGGGGGGGTCGTTGCACGTGACTGGTCACGCGGGCGACCAATAATTTTATCTCAAGTATAAGCAGCGCAGAAAAACATACACCACACTGTACATGTGGCATACCATCAAAGAAAATATCTTATATCTTGGTTCCCGTATTGCAAAGACGTTTCAATCAGTTTGACTAACGCGTATAGTAACAGGTAAAGGCCAAGCATAGCGGGGGCCCTGAGCTGCCAGCCCTCTCGTTCATTGTTTAGAATTTTTTTTATTGGGCCAAGCCAGGTGAATTTGGTGACGCATTGCCGCCTCGAGCAATTTGCTTCTCTGGAAAAGGCGTCATGATTACAGTCCATTCCTCCAAGACTGACACCCTAACTTTCTGGTGTCTCCCACGTATGGTTGTAGATAGCGTGAAAACAACTACAGTCAACTTCGCTTATAACAACACTCGGCGGGGCATCAACAAGGTGTCCTTATTCGCGAAGTGTCGTTATACCCGAAGTCTCATTTTATGTATTACAGTGGGATGGGACTTTGCTCTGGGCATGAAAAGTCTGTCGTTATTCGCGAATTGTCGTTATATCCGCAGTCGTTATTAGCGAAGTTGACTGTACATCCTGCATTGTGTGACCCGTGCGTGTGTGTATTCCTTGCCACACGTGAGGCCGGAAAAGTCCCAAGGATAAGGAATTGGAAATTCAGCCAGGTTTTACAAAATTAGGACAGGTATGTCATGGCAAAATGTATGGAGAAGCAGATCCAAACCCCAGGTTTCCTAATTTGAAGTCGATTTTTGAGCTTCAATTCGACCGAAATCGGGCTTTCAAAGCCAGCGGGACTGTTTTGGATGAATAGTATCAATAGTATATGTGCTATGAGCTGTAGCAAGAGTACGTAAACCAGAATTTGCAACTCCGTCCATATCAGTTTGGGAAACGAAATCCGTCGTTTACATCATGTTTTGGATCATCAGGGTCGCAGTCCGCGCTAGGCTACAATGCTACACTGCGTCAGTATGACCTCTGGCATCAGATTTTACCGCATCTTGGGGTTTGCAGTCATTTAGAAAGTTATGGAATTGTACAAGTATTGAACTCAACTTTAATTTCCAGACCTGGAAAGTTTGTAATGCTGTACTGTGAGTTGGTGACTGTGCTAGAATGATTCTTTGCGCTCTGCAGTTGGTAGCACTGTAGTGTTGGTAGGTGTACATATCATTGTTAGCTACAATAACAGACCGCATTCTGTGACCATTCCATTCCTACAGCCTTACTTGTATTTGAATACCTCGATTTATCCGAACGCAAAAAAGCAACAGCAACAGAAACAGGCGCATTCTGTACAGCGCACCGCACATATTATGTCTTATCAACATGTAATCTTGTTGAGTTTTGATTGCTGTTTTATGTGTGTTGGGATTACTGTATGACTTTGTAGGTAGGCACACTTGCTCCACTTGCAAGCAATAAGACTAAGAGAGTACACATTGAAATAGAGTCGAGTTGGACATCACTCTTCGATGTAAGGGTGATTTGCATTACAGCGGTCCGTTTATAATCCGGCACCATTTGTACTAAAGTGCTGGATTGAAGAGGGACGACTGTATCGGAACATTATGGATTATCGGAACGCACCTTCGAAACAGCTTACAATAAAGTGTTTGGATATCCATGATAGGACTATTATAGGTATGTGTATATTACACTTGCCAAGATAATTACATCCATTATCTGACCGGCAACTTCAAAGAGCATTTCAGCATCTGATCTCTTCTCTATACAAACTGTGTCTGGAAAATTGGAATCTTGACGTCCAAAGTCACGTAAACAATGAACTGCGCTGTCCTGAACCCGTATGTGAAGCTGCGTGCTCTAGTTCATGTACTCCTGGGAACAGCAGTTGTGGATTGAGCATCATGCTTCTGGAGCTTTTTTTCTCCACTGCCTGAGCAGCCTGCCTGTTCGTGCGTACGTACGTATGTGTGTTCGCGCGCGCGCATGTGTGTGTGTGTGTGTGTGTGTGTGTGTGTGTGTGGTGATGTTTTGTATGCATAGGTGGCAATCACGCCGCAAAGTGCCATTGGCTGATGTACGCCTGCCAGACAATCAGGGCATGGTCAATCTCAAAGTGGGAGACAATGCTGAGGTAAGAAGGAGGTATGTCACGATTTCCCCAGCACCGGTGCTAACGGTGGAAAGAGCTGACCACTGCAGTAAGGGACTTCCTCTCTTGGCAGCCAGGTCACCTTGGTCCCAGGCTATGCTTCAGTCCATGTGCAGTCATGCTAAGACTGTTATGTAGAACTGTTCTACATCATCAAGGTGCAGAGGAGGGGGGGGGGGGGGGCTGGTACAATTCTTGCATTTTTGTGCCTTCACATGCCCAATTTCAGTCTGGCTTTCTTCTCCACTCGTCCCGCCCAAAACGCCAAAAAAAAAGGAAAAAAAAGTATCCTTGTGTCTACTCGTAGCCTTGCTCCTGTTGTGTGGTCCGGCTATCTACCATTGCATTCTAATTTCTATGAATCCCTTGCCTGGACCTGTGCTGGTGTGTCATCGTATGGATATCAAGCTTTTGCCGAACTGTCTGCGTCTGTCTGTTCGTCATTCTGAAGGTGTTCTCCAGAGTCAAGAAAAGTGAGCCATGCAGCTATTGGCAATGCAGAATTGTTCAGCAGAAAGGCGAGGTGTGTATCCGTGCTTTGTTCAATGCTCAGTATTTGAGCGGGGCTTTTATTCGAGAGGGGCTTTTGAGGGGCTTCTATTCGAGTGAGTATGTGAGACCCAATTATACACACTCAAGTGAAGTATGAAATATTTCAGCGGGGATTTGAAACGTACCTTCTTGCCATCCTTCAGCTGTCTGACCCTTGCAAGAATGCAATGCTGCCCTTTTCTCTTGTGCCTAAATAACCAGCTGTGGCAGCACCAGTGGGAGCAACAACAGCATTGTCGTTTGTTTGTTGTTGTACGGTGCTACTGTTGCTGTTTGTTGTTGTGTCTGCAACTCTTTTCTCCTGCCTTTCTGTGTGCAGTTCTTCGTTATCGAGTACACCGGGCTGGATGCAAACTTTGCCAACGAAATTGTAGAACGCGACCGCCTAAGGTTACCTAATCACAAGTAAGTTTTTTTGCCGATGTGCTACTGTTTTCCTCGGTATTATGTCACCGTGTTGATTACCGGTCCTGCACGGTCTTTGTTTAAAAAATATATCTTGAGTGCCTTTGCCACAGTCGCATGATGCAGGGCTCCTTGGAATTACTTTCTTCAAGCCAAAATACTTTGGTACAAATGGTGACACTTTGACACAGATAGAATTCCATGTTGTTTTGTTAAAGGGGCACTCCGGGAATATTTTCGGTGGTGTGTTCTCTTCATGGGGGCCGTATATGGCCCCCAAGGAATGGGGAATCGCGAAAACTAGACCCAAAAAGTCGATATATGAAGCCAGGGAGGGCCAAGTTTGTCTCCTCTTTTGATGGTTTTGATGACGTCACGTGTGATTAGTATTCAAATTCTCTGCATTTGAAGATCTTAGTTGTTTGAATTTTCTGGCGATGAAGAACGATGTTTGGTCGACATTCCCAAGCTTCACAACTGCGGACATACTCTAAGGAACCTGAAGGACCCCCTGAGGTGCCCCTGGTAGAAGCGCAGCCTGATGAGGGCCAGGAGATTGGAGCGGACGACTTCACTGGGCCGAGTACGAGGATCCCGAAATTCTCTATACGCCGTGATGCATATGGTCAGAACAGTTTTGTTTAGACAAGCTGACGCGAAGCCGGGGGGTAATGTGTAACGCATGTCAAAGGGCTGCCAATGCTAACAGCTGCAGCGCTCTCTCGGCAGCGAAGGTAATCGACTGCCCTCTGCATCACCCCACATTTCTGGCAGGAACACCAATCGTTACTTCCTTGTCGACCAGTGAAGTCGTCCGCTCCAATTTCCTGGCTCTCATCAGGCTGCGCTTCTACCAGGGGCACCTCAGGAGGTCCTTCAGGTAACTGGTTCCTTAGAGTATGGTCGCTGCAGTTGTGAAGCTTGGGAATGTTGACCAAACATCGTTCTTCATCACCAGAAAATTCAAACAACTAAGATCTTCAAATGCAGAGAATTTGAATACTAATCACACGTGACGTCATCAAAACCATCAACAGAGGAGACAAACTTGGCCCTCCCTAGCTTCATATATCGACTTTTTGGGTCTAGTTTTCGCGATTCCCCATTCTTTGGGGGCCATATAAGGCCCCCATGAAGAGAACACACCACCGAAAATATTCCCGGAGTGCCCCTTTAACGTTGACTTTTGTGGATGTTTTGCGAACAGCGAAAGATATGTGGGGTCAGAAGTTCAGAGATTACCCTGGCGGTAAATTTGACAGGCTTTTGCTCAGTTTTATGCTGGTATGCATGCATCATAATTCCTGCCACAGTACCTCATGACAGGGCGTTCTGCTTGTGTTTTATGGTTAAACTATTTGGTGATTTGTGATGGGCACTGTGGGGACGAGTCTTTCCTAATATTAGGGACGTTTAGCAATGCGAAAATTCGAACTTTTGGTGGCGGTGATATTTCGCGAAAATCTATTTCGAAAAAGAAAACCTTGTGAGGTTTAGCAATGCGAAAACAACTTGTTCTCGAAGTTATTTGAATCTTATAGTACCGTACCATATATGCAGCTCAGTCTCAAGCAGGGCCTGTAAACATACTACTCCCTGTCGTCAAATGCGTACCGAGGAAAGAGAGAGTTACTTTCGTAAATCACTGGAACTTTGCGTCCACGTTTTCGAAATTTCAGGTTTTGTTTCTGTCCCAGACTCGAATTTTCTTTCAAACTTTCGCGTTGCTAAACGTCCCTATTGTAGATCAGTTCTATTACTTACATCATGGTTATGTGGACTTGAAGAAAAAGTCCGTAAATACTGTAAAAGTCCGTAAATAAGTACGTATTTACTTTCGAATTTAGTGGCCACACCCGTACTAACTTTCGGGCGGTTACTGACTTTCGGGCACGAACTAACTTTCGGACCTGACTTGTGTGTAGTGGAGAAGTCATTTTCATGTCAATGTACATGCTACGTGCTGCATGTGCGCACCGTACCGGTACTTATTTCGGGCAGTATGTTTATCGGGCTTGACTTGACTTGACTTCAACAGACAGAGGCAAAAGAATGAAGGGGGTATTTCTTTCGGGCAGGTACTTATTTACGGACTTTTACGGTAGTACAGGGTATCTACTATAGTCAGCGTAGAGGCTGCAAGTGCCTGGGTCAGGACATGAAGACGAGGCTACAAGAGATGGACATCACTCTATTATCTACTAGTACTACCAGGAGTACATAACCCCCCAGAGTGTGGAACGCCTGATCCAGCTCTGCATAGTGTCTTGGTCGAGCGTAATCGGATCTTCTGATGTCATGCGTACACTCCATACCAGCGCAAGGCCGGTCTCGAGGCAGGGCACCATTGTTTTTGATCCGAGAGTACCCGCGACTCCCCGGGTTCCTCTCAGATGTGTACGGTATTATGACGCAAAGATCCGATTACGCTTGACCAAGACCCTATGCAGAGCTGGATCAGGCGTTGCACACTCTGGGGGGTTATGTACTCTTGGTACTAGTAGATGTATATGTACCTGCAAATGTGGAAGTGACTTGCTCTCTCTCTCTATCTCTCGCTCTCTCTCGCTCTCTCTCTCGCTCTCGCTCTCTCTCTCTCTCTCTTTCTCTCTCTCTCTCTCTCTCTCTCGCTCGCTCTCGCTCTCTCTCTCTCTCTCTCTCTCTCTCTCTCCCTCTCTCTCTCCCTCTCTCTCTCTCTCGCTCTCTCTTCCTGTTTCTAGTCCACCGATTGCATCCAAGTCATTCTACAAGTGCATTATTGAGCTGCCAGATAGCTTGCGTGACGTGTAAGTTAGATAACCATGCCTGGTGGAGTCATGGTGTTCATTGATATTCTGATGTTTATACTTCATAGCCTAGGTCTCTATAATGTTTGTGTGTGTGTGCCTGTGCATGCATGCAACCTGTGTACGGAATAAGCAGGGAATTGCCCGGCGCTGTTCTCCAATGCGCTGCGGCGGAGTCCGACTGTTCTCAAACCTTGATACGGGTCAAAGGGTAACTTCAAGTTTTTGTCAGAAACCTATCCCTATGTAGTGTCCACTCCTAGTTGGTCTCACTGACGATGTAAATTATGATGTCATCAGGGTTCTAGCCAAAGGGGGGGGGGGGGGGGCGCAGCGCCCCCCCCTACTCCGTTTGCGCGCCCCTGTGAAAAAGTGCCGCCCCCCCCCCTACTCATTTTCCGATTTTTGTGTTTTTCATGCAATTCAACGAAAATACAGTCGATAGTCACTACTAGAGGGTTCATAAAAGCACATTTGTGAGGGGTGAAGTCAGGGTTCACCCTGTATGTTACATTTTGTATGGCAAGACAATTTTGGACAATGGAAAAAACGGGTCATGGGGTAACTTTTTCCCATGCCCGCCCCCCT